CAAAATAGCGAATGAAATTCTCGACTCTGTGTGCCAATATATGCGCCATAACCTACTGCACATTAATGTTAAAAAATCTTGTTACATGTACTTCTCGCCTACTAAACGTAAGACCATTGATAATACTGAAAATGACTTGAATCTAGAAATTGATGGGATCCCGATCAAACAGGTTACTGAAACGAAATTTCTAGGTGTAATTATTGATGACAAACTGAGTTGGACACCTCATTTCGAGAAACTAACTAAGAAATTAAACAGCATATGTGGCCGTATTTATCGAATAAAAAACTCCCTCCCCAGCCAGCTGTACAAACAGATATACCACACTCTTTTTGAATCTCATCTAGGATACGGTATAACTGTATGGGGTGGTGTATCAATTAATAAGCTTTCACCACTATTCCTTGCACAGAAGAAATGTGTCCGAATCTTATTTGGGGACTCGGAAGCATTTAGCGACAAGTTTAAAACTTGTTCTCGTAGCAGGCCAATCCAGTGCAGTATAAACAAGAAAGGTCAAATATCCAATGAATCAACTATACCTCACATTAAACCGTGTTCTATATGTATCAGCTTGAGGAAGACTGGTGATAAACAAGCAAGGCCACATCGCTGCCAAATACTTGGGGCAGAATTCCACTCTAGAGAATCAACAAAACCTATTTTCCAATCTAAGGAACTAATGACAGTACATAACATATATAGATACAGATGCATTACTGAAACAATGAAGATAGTGAAGAGTCATCAGCCCATATCCATGTATTCTCTCTTTAAGAAGTCTGAGCTCAGAGATGACAGATTTGTGACACCACACTCATCTCACAATTTCGCATATAAAGGGGCAAATTTATGGAATAGGTTTCTTGAGCAGTCAAATGCACGTGGTAAAATAGGTTCACTAGGTTCAATTAAATCCCGATTGAAGCTTTCTATCATGAAGGCTCAACACCAACCTGACAATATTAACTGGCAGGACTTAAACTTCAACACTTTCCTATGAAAAGACCCCCATTTATATTTATATATTTTAGATTTTACACCTGTCACTCACATCATATATGCACCACAAAAGAAAAAAGATTCATTCAATCATTACATTATACACTCACTCCACCACACATGCACACAAAACATTAAAGCATGTTACACGCGGGTGTAACGTTCACTTTATCCGAAGGGAAAAATAATACTTTACGTAACGCGCGATTTACGTCTTGGTAGCTAAATTATTCAAGTGCTATTTGTCAGAGCGACACAAATGCGCGAGCGCTTGCGCGGCTCACCTATCCAACACTCTTGTTTACATCGTATCAGGCAATGGTTCAGTTTAATTATGGTAAGGGCACAGCCTGTCAAAAACCCTTTTCGCATGATCCGTCGACACCGCCTGAAGGTGAATGCATAACAACGGATCATGAACGTACGGAATCAAACGTTAATAAGCTTGCAGCTTCCGATGAAAATGTATTTAACTTTGTGTCATGCTTGAATTGGTTTTGGACCTCTTCAATGCTTTTAATTTATTTATTATTGTTATTTGGTATTATGAGCTGATATGTATATATACATACGGTATCTAAAATTAAGCGTATAGCGAGCATATTTAACAATTTTTAAGCAATAATGTATTGCGAGCAGCTGTAACTTAAATATCGCATAAAAATCATATAATTATAACACAAAACTAAAATTTTATTGGAATCTAGGTTAAACTAAGATAAAATTAATATCAGCCCCTTCGCCACTCTCAGCAGTCAACCAGGGCTCATAAAAGCTTAACAGCGCCTGGGTCCGTTCACCAACTGTGCTAATGTGAGTGGCGGTGTGGTAAAACCCATTTCAACAGCGTGAATATTTATCAAATATAAGCGCGCTAGCTGCTAGCATACTTGTATCATTTAATTTTTAATCAAATTTATTCGGATATATATTTATTGATTATGTATTGAATTGGTGATAAATAATAAAATTGTCTTTTCTCAAAAAAAAAAAAAAAATTGTCTTTTCTCAGGGGAGTGAGATGTGCTAACTTGATTCCCTCCATACTTCCGGTTGAAAGAGAAACGTTGATAATATCACAAAGGGTAGGGAGGATTAGCTCAAGGTGCTCTGACAAGAGTTCTTTAGGTAGTGGATCAATCGATGAGGTTTTGATGCCAGATTCTTTGATCAATTCTCTGACTTCAAAAATAGTAGCTTTTCTAAATTCAGATAATGCCTGGCCATTGAAGATTGGAGAACTATTAGTCACAGTAGTGTTGGGAAATGATGTTCGGATTTTCTCAATTTTTTCAGTAAAATACTGGTTAAAGGCATTTACAGTTTCCTGAAGATTTTCTGAAGATGGTAAAGTGAGGTCCTTTTCTTTATCCAGGAAAGTGTCTACAAATTTGTAAAGGCTCTTTTGTGAGTGTTTGTATTTCTGGAAAGTATTAGAGAAGAACAGTTTTTTCTTTTTGAGAGTCAGCTCTGAACAGTGCTCTCGCAAATGAACAAAGATATCATGATCAATTTCGAGACTTGACTTTTTCCAGGCTTTCTCAGCCTTTCTTCTTTCGGCTCTTGCAACTTTGTATTCGCCATCAAACCAGGGAGCAGTGGGAATGTCTTTGATGGTTTTGGAATATTCTGGGGCATGTACATTTAGTATATGTTGACACCCATTGTTAAATTGAGTCACAACATCAGAGAAGCTCTTTTCTTCAAAAACCAACTCAGATAGAGCAACAGATAAATCACCTTTAAATTGTTCCTGATCTATGTCTCTGATCTTTCTAAAGCGTATGACTTTCTCACATTTGTCGATGTCAGGAGGCTTATGAAGCTGAAATATAATTGGATAGTGGTCACAGGATGGGAAGCTTTTGGCCATGTTTTGCATTACCTCGACAGAAGTTTGATCTACTACTTTGTGCGAAGAAATAACAGGATCAAGGATGTGACCTTTTTTATGTGTTGGTGAGTAGACAAGTTGATGAAGCCCAAAAGATGATAGTATGGTGTTCCACTCACTCACATGAGCAGAGATTCTATCTAGGTGCATATTAACATCTCCGCATAGCAAGAAATGCTTGTATTTTGAGAATGCATCCGTCAGGAAATCTTCAAAATCAGAGAGGAAATTTCCCAAGGACCCAGGTGGACGGTAGATACAGGAGCAGAATACGACAGATCCATCAACGAGTTTCAGTTTTGTGTTAATTGCCTCAAATGATCCGTCATTGTTGGCAAAAACCTTGATTAGACGAACACATGATTTGTAGATTATGGCAACACCTCCACCTGATTTGTTTTTGCGATACACTTGGTAAAGTTTATAGCCATAGTTTTTTATTATTGCAGTGGTGTTGTTGCTCTCATCAGTTAGCCATGTTTCTGTAACAAAGAAAATAGATATGTTGTTATCTTCTAAAAAGTTCATAACATGGTCAACCTTGTTGTTTAGAGAGCGAACATTCCAGCTTGCACATTTCATACTTAGGCTCTTAACTCCAGTCTTGTTCTTCACCAGTTTTTTTGGGTGTAATATGAGATTGAATGCTTAAGCTTGTGCTGTTCAGAGATATAGGCTGGGCATGATCTGTCTGTGGCTGAGTGTGTGTACTGTTCATCAGTTCTCTTAGAATTTTTACAGTTAGCACAAGAGGGTTGAAAGGAATGTGTGTCTTTATTTGTACATGAGTTAGTTTCATGATCTTCAGTGCAATGAGCACAGACATGGTTAGATGCTTGGCACTGGGCTGAGTAATGACCAAACTTTTGGCATTTATTACATCGTTTGATGTAAAAGTGATCATACACCTTGCAGCGGTACAAACCTATGGATAGGAAATTGTCACGATTTTCTATCAGCTTCCGTATGGCATTGCTCACTCTAACAGAAGCTTGAAACAGTGGTTTTTCTGTTTGATAATTTCTTTGTTTGCGCACTGAGAGTACAGAAAATGTCTCACCAGAATCAATGAGGGATTTGATGTCAGGGTAAAGTTTCATAATGGTTTCGAAGAGATCATCGGGTGTGATTTCATCTCTAATCCCGGAAATGGATATCGTAGGCAATTTGGTTATAGGTTGCTTGAGAGCAGATTTGGGAAATTTTCTGGAGAAGGATTGAACTAACTTTGCTCGATCAGCTTGACTAGATGTAGTGATAACTGTCTCACCTTTCTTGTTTTCAAAGGTATTATCTACAAAAATATTATTTTCTGTGATAATAGTTTTAAGGTCAGATAATGGAACTTTTTCTCCCCCTTCAGAGACTATTACTGAAGCTGGGTGCCTCAGTTTTTCTACTCTGTTGCTGTCACACCAGGGATTTCCGACAACACCAGTAGAGACGGCAGTTGCATGGTTGCTATTAACTGGTGAAAGGGTTGGTGATATGGAACCGTTTCCTGTGGTCAAACTTAACCCATGAAGAGTGGCAGGATTTAACAAGAGATTTTTAATGATGTCTATGTCAGCATCTAGTTTTGACATTTTTGTTTCAAGGGTGTGCACATGGGTTTTTAAATCAGCAGCGTTTCTCAGGTTTGATAATGTAACACAAGAGTCACAATGGAAGAGGAAATTTCCAAAACGTTTACCTTTCTGTTTTGATTCAGTGTTAGCATTGAAAGATTTCAGTAAGGACGGAGAGCATACATTATCAGTAAAGTTAATACGTCTATTGTCCTTCATTTCATAACAAGTAGCGTGAAAATTGCTCTTACATTCATAACAACATACCACTTCTCCTTTAGTATCGGACGAGCAGTTTCTGCAAATTCCATCAGCAGCTAACATACGTAGATCGTTCACAACAATACAAGGGGGCTGGGGGCTGGCATTATCATCATTGTCATTATCATTACCATTGTTATCATGTTGCCCCTGTAAGACATGATTTGAGGAGCCCAGCCCCTCTGAGTTTTGATCGGGATCTACCATTCTTTTGGGAGGATGGAGACAGATGTAAAATCTTTTATGATGTACAACTCAGAAGTTTCGGGGTCCTCAAATTATTTGTTATATAGTAGTGTTGAAAGTATAAAAAAAAATATAAGAGATACGATGATTTAACTTGTAGAAGCTTTCAATAAACATGTGTTAATCGTCGTCAGCTGAATGTGATGTGGTGGACAATGCTTATATGTGATTGAGTGGTGTCAGGGATGGAGGGTGGGGGAGATGTGGGTGGGAAAGTGAAAATTACAGTACAATGTCAATAAAAATTTAGTCTTCTGTTGAGGTTGAGAAGGAAATGCCAGATGGTCTGGACTTTAAGGATTTGGCAATTTTAGGAAGAATGGGGTCCCAGAGGGAACTACATTTGGGTGCGCGGTCTGTTCTGTTCATAGCTGGTTGTCGTATTTGTATAGCTGCGTGTTCTGTGAGGTCAAGTTGGGAGCGTGAGGTGAGGGATTTGAGGACTTCGATGTTGTTCCAGGAGATGGTGTGGCCGGTGGTCAGGGCATGATGTGCAGGGGCTGATTTGATTCTGTCTGTGGATTCGTCGATGGCGTTGTTGAGTCTGTAACATTGTTCGTGTTCTTTCATGCGGTGGACCAAGGGTCTGTAGGTCTGTCCGGCGTATATATTGTGTATATTGTGTATATTGTTTGAATAATTTTACTTAAAAACTTTTTGACAATTTCTTTACTTTTAGCAAACTTTATTTTAGTTGCCTGGTACACACCTTGTTCATCAAACATACCTGTTACAAACCTTATGAGTAACTTTTCTATTCTTTTTGAACTATCTATCAAATGATATTTTTTCTGTGAAATTGCAATCAATGATCGATTAAAAACTGGATTTCTCATAATATTGTAGGAAAACAAGTTTTAAACTGTAAAACCCGATTTACCACAGAGTTTGGTGGAAGGATGTTTCCCTTCCACTGGAAGGGAAACATCTGCGGTTAATGTTATTCGTTTTAAGCCCTATTTAGGCAGGGGAATGGAGATTGCAGCGGTAAATCAGGGTTTATGGTAAATCAGGGCGTGGTAAATCGAGGTTCTGCAGTAATCAGTATATCTGTTGTATATCAATTTAGCTATAGCGGTCAAAAATACGCCTATTTAGATGGGCTTTATAATTCTAATGTAAGATCGAATGATGGCCTTAAATTTTCTCCCATGTTTCGAGATTGAATTTCTAGTAACGTGGACTATATTTTGTTTAAAAATATCGTTACTAATTTAAATGTTAAAGCATCATTTAACTCCACGAGACCATGAAATGACTACCAAATTACCAATCACAAATTTTCCTACCATTGCTGAAGGCTAAAGTATCATAGGGAATAAGTAATTGGGTTTGGATATATGAGGTGGCCCAACAGGGCAATGTTGAGGACAGAAGTTTGTTCCTTCGAAGTATAGACCACTCCCCTTTAATTTTGTGGATAGGAGATGTCTATTTTACTGCACGCAATGCAGGTCATAGTTAATTAATTACACACGAAGTTGTCACAAACGTATTTCTGATGCTTTTTTACCTCATCCAAAAAATTCCTCATTTTAATTACCATATCATCATCACGTCCGTCTATGTCCGCTTGTCTCATAGAATCCAAAAAGGACAGGACATAGGCGGACATAGACGGACATATACGAACATTAGCTAAATAAAATTGCTAAATAAGATGTTCAATTTTTGCTGTTATATGGGGGATCATGTTTTTGTCCGGTACCCTATATTTTCAGTACCCTCAGTCATTTAGATGCTTCCTCCTCCTACTCTTCCTCCTTCCTCCTCCTCCTCCTGATCTTCCTCAGTCCTCTTCCTCCTCCCCTCCTCAGTCCTCCTCCTACTCCTCAGTCCTCCTCATCAGTCCTCAACAGTCCTCCTCCTCCCCAGTCCTCTCCTCCTCCTGAGTCCTCCTCCTGGGTCCTCCTCCTGGGTCCTCCTCCTGGGTCCTCCTCCTCCTCTTCATCCTCTTCATCCTCCTCTTCCTCCTCAGTCCTCAGTCTTCCTCAGTCCTCCTCCTCATCCTTCTCCTCAGTCTTCCATCCTCCTCAGTCCTCCCCCAGTCCTCCTCCTCAGTCCTCCTCCTCCTGGGTCCTCCTCCTCCTCTTCATCCTCCTCCTCTTCCTCCTCGGTCCTCAGTCCTCCGTCCTCAGTCCTCGGTCCTCATCCTTCTCATCAGTCCTCCTCCTCCTCGGTCCTCTCCCAGTCCCCCTCCTTCTCCTCCTCCTATTCAGTCCTCCTCCTCCTCCTCCTCCTCAGTTCTCCTCAGTCTTCCTTCTCAGTTCTCCTAAGACCTCCTCCTGAGTCCTCCTCTTCCTCTTCCTCCTGAGTCCTCCTCCTCCTCCCTCTCAGTCATCCTCCTCAGTCATCCTCCTCAGCCATCCTCCTCAGCCATCCTCCTCAGTACTCTTCAGTACTCTTCAGTCTTCCTCCTTCTCAGTCCTCCTGAGTCCTCCTCCTCCTGAGTCATCCTCCTCAGTCCTCCTCCTCCTCCTCCTGGGTCCTCCTCCTGGGTCTTCCTGATCCTCCCCAGTCCTCTTCCTTATCCCCTCCTCAGTCCTCCTCCTACTCCTCCTCCTCGTCCTCAGTCCTCCTCATCAGTCCTCAACAGTCCTCCTCCTCCCCAGTCCTCCTCCTCCTCCTCCTCCTCCTGGGGCCTTTTCCTGGGTCCCTATATAATTTGATATAATAAGTTAAAACTATTAATAGCTTTAGTGTGATTAATAAGTCGTTTGTTTTGTACAAAATTATAATACATAGAAGTTGCAAAAAATTCTCAAAATGTTTGTCCGCTAATGTCCACCAATGTCCGCTAATGTCCACCAATGTCCGCTAATGTCCACCAATGTCCGTCCGAGTCCGCCAATATCCGTCCGGGTCCGCAAATGTCCGTCTGAGTCCGCCAATGTCCGTCCGAGTCCGCCAATGTCCGTCCGTGTCCGCCAATGTCCGTCCGAGTCCGCCAATGTCCGTCCGTGTCCGCCAATGTCCCAAAAAACACGTCCGTTGTCTCATAGAATCCAAAAAGGACAGGACATAGGCGGACATAGACGGACGTGACATCCCCCCGCCCCCCCCCCCCTCTATCTATAGTTTAGGCCATAAAAGGATTTCATGTTAGCAGAAACAAATTCTGGTTTATGAGTGGATCATCAATTAATTATTTATTAGGTTTCAATTATTTATTGCTGTGTAAAATTGTATTATATTCTATTATATTATGTTATCTGGCTTTCAATTTTAAATGGAAGGAAAATCTTTTTATTTAAGTTAAAAAGTTAAAATTTCTAAATATCAAACAGTTCAGGGATGCAATGAATGACATCAAGTTGCGTGACACTGAAGATAAAGCCACTGAATTGATTAATCAGCAACTGAAAAAGATAGTTGATACAAATGACACAGAATCCCTCAATTCTGGACTTGAAGATTTTGATATACCCGAAATCACAGTCTTACCTTCTTTAGAAGAAATATTATCTCAAGATGATCCAATAACATTCCTAGACAGTGATTTGAGGGAAGATATTGACAATGTTCTCCTTGCTGATGATGATATTATGTCAGTTATTTCAAGCAGTTCGTTTTCATCTTTAGGGAAGGGAGGTGATATGCCAAATGAAATAAAGACCAAGAAGAAGCTTTATGGCGAAGTTGTTAAATGTACTGGCTTATCACTTTTGGGTGGAATGTGCAATCGAGATGATAAAGCAACTGCAATCACGATCAAGAACAGATTGATTTGTGTCGGATTTAGATCAGGCAAAGTGTCTTCAATGACCATTGATGGGGAAGTAAATGGAGAAATAACAAACAATAAAGTTTATGATTCAGGTGCAGTTACTTCACTTGACATAGAAGATGGGATCCTTGCTGCATCTCATTCCACAGGTGTCATACATGTGTGGAATTTGAAGAACAACTCTCATCTTCAGAAAATTGAAGTTAAAATCACAGACAGCACAGTTATAAAAGTCGTTGTCATTGATCGAAATCATCTTCTCTATATGGTTTCCCAAGGGTCTGTCTTCGATGTTAAGCTTACAAAAACTTTATCTATCAGAGGCTCTGAAAGTACATGCCTGTTTTCTGGATCACATGGGGAAGTTTTGGACATTCAAAGGCTCAAGGTTGCAAAAAATCACCCATTATTCCCATACTGCATTATTGGTTTGTGCACCTTCAAACAAGTGATGCTTATTTCATTAAACCCTTACCCCAATATCAAGTACAGTGTGCGTCTTTGGGGGGACACAACCACTCTTCCAGTAATAAACTGGTACTACCATGAAGTAGATTGTGAAAAGCCCAAACTTGTTATCGGCCGCAGCAAGAGGTTTGTCATGTATAGTCTAAACATCAATAACAGAAATCAAATATTCCTGAGAAAACTCAAATCATGCAGCCTTGAATTTCAGCTCATTTCGATTTTTTGGTTCAACACAAACACTGTTGCTGCTTTGGATTCCTCAGAAAAAGTTCACTTAATTGATGCCCATACTCTCTCTCGTTTGCAAACTGTGACACATGTGTCAGATATAGGTCTTTGTTATAACACAGCGTTCTACCGATCTTTAGCCACTGGTGGTAATGTCAGTAAAGCTATGTTTGCTGCTTCTCAGTATGCATGTTATAATTCAGTTTGCTCATACCCAGGAGGTACATGGTTCTTGGGGAGCAGAGATGTTATGAAAATTGCTTCAAATCCTTGGCGACAGAGGATAGTTGATCTTAAGAATGATTTGCACTTTGCTGATGCATTGGAATTAACTCTAGCCTTTTATTCTGGAAAAGGTAAAGGGGTTTCATCATTGGTGTTTCGTGACATGGACAAAGTTAAAGATTCATGTATGGAATTGATAATAGAGATATTTTCACAATTCATAGAAGAAACACAGCAGGATTTGAATAGACTTGGAGTTGCTCTCAAGACATGCATCAATGCCTGCATTTTTACCAAGAACACTTCTCTTGTTTATGATGAAATTTACACCAGATTGTCAAAGATAGGAGCTGTTCAACGAGTATTTTATGAGACATTGGAACCGTTCGTTTTTAATAACAAAATAAAATCTCTAAATCCAATTCTCATGAAGGATCTGCTAGAATACTTTAAAGAAAACGATAAGCTCCAAAGTTTTGAGAAATGCATCCTCCACTTGGATCCAGTTAATCTCGACATCCACAACACTCTTATCCTTTGCAAAGAATATGACATGTATGAAGCTATCCTGTACATTTACAATGCCTGTCTCATGGATTACACCACACCTCTCACCAACCTCCTGGATGTACTACATGCTCAACTTATCGAAAATGACAAGACACACAAACAGGTTGGTTATGTCATTCTTATGTACATCAGTGATTGTCTGATTGGAAATATTCCCGATACCATGGGAGTGATTGATGCGGATGAGGAAGTGAGGATTCAAAATCTTGTTTTCAACAATGTGTTTTGCAAGCACAGTGGTACTGAAAATCTCTTGTATCAGGAGCCGGACTATCCTTATGTGAAGTTAATTTTAAAGCTTGATACAAGAGAGTTTCTTAATGTTATGAGTGTCACTTTTGGACACCCTATGTGCTTACCAATCCATCAGATTGTAATTGACATTCTTCTGCATGTCATGATTGAGGAGGGACAAGACTATACACCTCTACAGATTGGACATCTCTTTACATTTTTAGCCCGACAAAAAGTGGTAAACTCCTTCTATTTGGATAAAAAGTATCTCGACCAAGCTTTAGATTGTCTAGCTACAAATGATGTGACTGGCCACGAAGAGAGGGAACAAGCACTCTTGGAACTAGTTCTTACAATCGGTATCACAGAATTTAACGAAGACAGGCTCCTTGCATTATCTGAGTCAGCAGGGTTTTACCAAGTGTGTGAAGTTATTTATGAGAAGAGAAACGAATACGAGAAAGTTCTGTTCTGCTACTGGTCGAACACCAGCAGAGTTGACAAAGTGTTTTCTTACATCTATCACATTATGGATGGGTCATATTCAGAGGAGGTGAAGACAAAGATAAGAGAGACCTGTGTTCAAAACATTGGAAAACTGATCGCTATAAACAATGAGGACACAGCTACTCTCATCCTAAAGGCATTCAGTGAGGATATTGAGAAGATAGTGTACATGTTGGATGACCAGCCAAGGACATTGTACTCTCTACTACAATGTGTCTATGACATCAGTAAAGGATCTGAAGAGCCTGATATAAACAATGTCGAGATTCATCATATTTACATCAAGCTCATGTCACGCTATAATCCTGAATTTGTCTGTCCTTATCTTAAAGTGGCAACAGGATATAAGATCGATCCCATTCTGGAGCTTTGCTTAGTGGCCAATTTAAAAGATGCTGCAGCCTTTCTCTATGAGACAAAAGGTGATCTTGAGGATGCATTCAAATTGTACTATGACGTATTGAGGGATACTATCAGAGATAAACAGCTTGTATTTGTCGAAGAAACCCTTATTAAGATAATTAATTTTTGTCAAAGGAATTCAGACCAACTTTCACAAAATGACAAAGAATCTTATTGGTTTTCTCTGATAGATTTGTTACTTGGATTGGGCGAAGCTCCTGATTGTATTGCATTACAAGAGATACTCATCGATAACATGCTTGGGTTTGTCTCTTCTTCGAAAGTGCTTGACAAACTAATCAAGAGCTCCTCCAACAAATCCTTCAAAACATATGGCGACATAAAGAAAGTGGTTGGTAACATGCTCGATACCTTGATGTATGAAGATGTGCTTCTCAAAAGTACCAGAAAAATCGTCCAGCACGACATCTTTACTGCCTTGAGAAGGGACAAGGTAGGTTTTGTGAAAGGAATAGACATCCACAAGAACGTTTGTGTAGTTTGCTGCCAGTACATAACTCCTGTTGACACAACGTTTTTCATCTTCCATTGTGCTCATCTCGCTCACACTGGCTGTGTTGAGCATATGAGGCAGAAGTACTGTGTGCTTTGTGAATCTGATCAGACTGTTAACAAGAAAACCCAGAAAATACTTAGCCGGGTAGTTTCTATTGACGTTCCATACCATCAAACCCACTTTGAGTCTTGGAGAGCAAACTTTAATGAGCTAAGAAAGACATTAAACGGGGAGGACAGGATGGCTCTTATACATGAACTATGTGATGATATTGGTAGCAATGCCTCCAATGATGATGAATATGATGTTGACCTAACGGCTGACTTCAAAGATTATTGCAAAGACCTCAATCTTGACATGGATTCATTCATGACGAGTTCTAAAGAACCATCTGGAATGTCGTCTTCACGTGGGTCCAGAACTCAGGGGAACTTCGGCACCTCAAACATTACAGACTCAACTAGATCCTTCCAAAATTCACAGTTAATACACAGATCTTCAGCACCCTCCCCAACTCCAGCACGTCATTCTCCTCAAGGTGCTTCCAGAAACACTCGAAGAAGTCCTGTAAACAATCGTAACAGTCCAGTCACTAATCGCTATGAGCAATCAAAGAATCCGTTTGGAGATGAAGACTCTAATCCTTCCACTGCAGATGATGTTAACCCATTTGGTGCTGGAACTCCCTCGCCTACTAATAATCCATTTGATGACGAGGACACTAATCCTTTTGCTGATGATTACAATCCTTTTGCCGAAGATATATGATTCTGATAATTTCATCATTGACAATAGATTATGCTTTGTATAATACGACGTATACTTTAGTTCTGTATTATGTTAGTGTAGGGTTTAAATAGGCGAACCTGTTTGAGAACTGAATTCTGTCAGGTTTAATTTTTAGTTCTCAAGTACGAAAATATAGCCATGTAAAGATAATCACCATACTTACGACCGGTTTTCTCGTTGATGTATGGCTTGCTGTAATATGTTGACTGCAAACAGATCAGTAATTAAATATAATATGTATATTTAAACCAGTATTCTACGAGCAGTATCTTTAATGATGTCTTTTCTTTGATAATTTTTCAGGTTTGTGTGAAAGATGATTTGTGTTATATTGACCTCGTCGATTTGACTTTCCCGATTTACTTGTTAGGCATCGTAATTTTATTGGTGAATGAAATTCATGTGTAAAATCATATTTTGTTAAATGTTTAATGTTTATTGTAAATGGTTTTGAATATCGATTTCTGTCTAATATCCCTTTGATAAATATCATACGAGTATAATTGCTTGAGCCGTTTTTCACTTCAATCTGATTAAAGAATTTTTATTTAAATAGTTGAACTAGAAAATGGAATCAAAGCCGATTGAATTTAATTGAATTGGTCTAATTTTGCTCTTATGTTTCTGGTGTGAAAATTCTTTAAATTTGTAACAATATGTTTGTCATGTTAACTTTGTTTTAAAATATTCAGGTATGTGCTGAAGGCATTAAAGTTCAACATAATGTGTGATTTGGACATCTACGATCCTCCTTGCCCAGCGAAGGACGCTCCGGTCAAATCTCGGGGACTGATAAGGTTCAATTTTGTCACGTGATTATTATATTTGTCATTAACGCATGTAAAATCAACAATTATTGGTCGAATTAATAATTTTTATACAATTCTCAAAACTTATTTCATCATGAGACATATATTTTCCATTTTGTAATCGAAACCTAAATGCAATGAAATTGCAGGACTAAATTCACAGAATACAGCAACACGATAACCTCAGGGATCAGTGAGCAGAGGGAAAGGGTTAACTATGTGGAGCAGAAGGTAATTGTTCAAGACGTGTTCACTGTTCAGTTTTTAAATACGTATTATACCCTATCATATTCTTATTGATATAACGATAACAATCTAAAAATAGATTCGTCTGGGATAGTGAGTGATAGTACCCGAGAGGAGCCTGGATAACTGATAGAGTGCTAAGACCTGTAGCTGTTGTCAATTTCGCGCAATTTAATAGATATTGGCATTCGTGTGTATTGAAACTAAGTTGAAATTTGTACCAAGCCTGACGTCACTTCAAAACAAGTTGAATCACATTCCGTTGTCATGGAAAAATGGTTCACTGGTGTGTGCTAATTGATGAAGAATGGTCAAGTGACACATTTAGGTGATATTTAACTGTGGTCACGTGTCTCATGTCTGTGTGTATGTCACGTGTCTGTGTGTATGTCATGTGACTTACTGACTTAGGCTCATTATCATGGACTCATCTTTAATGGATATCTTCCACCTCTATTTAAGTGTAAAGCCCTCAACTGTGTTTCAGTGTTTCGGATTTACACAAAGATATACACCTCTTGCACAGGAGGTGACCGGGACATGATTTTAGGCCTGACCGGGACCGGGACCGGGATACAAAATGTGACTTGACCGGGACCGGGACCGGGACTGAGATTATCAATTTACCGTGACCGGGACCGGGACCGGGACCAATAATTTCTGGGATTTCTATCTTACCGGGACCGGGACCGGGACCGGGACCAACAATCCAATTTTACCGGGATGACCGGGATTTGACCGGGATGACCGGGATGACCGGGATTTGACCGGGATGACCGGGACCAAAACTGGTATTCTCATATTGAAAGCTGCAACTTTCATTTACATTATAATTAAACAATTTGAATAAGTAATAACTAGAATATTAAATTAGAAAAAACTAGAAAAAACCCGTCAATATGGGGCATGGGCCTAATGTACTACACCAATAATGTTCATGTACTGATTACTCAAGTTCACCATCATTCCTCATTCCTCAATCAATGATCCCTCAAATTATTCAACAGTTTCATTCTCCAATTCCAATTGACAATTGGGCGTAGCCCGAGTTGAAAACTTGATGTTAGTTTGCACTTATGAGTTATGTAACGATATTAGTTACCTAAACTTGTTTAGCAATTTTAAACATTGTTTTATTTGGCTCAGAGGTTGTTTAAAGATGAAATTCACAATGAATGAAAGTAAAAACTTAAAATCACAGTGAATGAAATTATGTAAAAGATCCCGGTCAAAATCCCGGCAAATTTGAGTGATTGACCGGGACCAGGACCGGGACCGGGACCAAGAATCCTGAATTAACCGGGACCGGGACCGGGACCGGGATCATAAATCAGCATTTGACCGGGACCGGGACCGCGACCGGGATGAAAAATGTGACTTGACCCGGTTTACCGGGACCGGGACCGGGACCGGGATAGCTCAAAATTGCCAATCCCGGTACCGGGATTCCCGGTACCGGGAATCCCGGTCACCTCCTGCTCTTGCATAATGCATTGCACTATACACACTCGTAGCTATCTCTTCGCAGGGTCTATCTACAGCGTGTATTTTGTATTTTTCAATTATAAAATCATAATTTTAAATTTAACGAATCATTAAAATTAAAATTCTAACTCCATTATTTTTCCAGGTACTGTCTACAGTAAAGCCAGTAACGAGGTTTATCCCAATAACCTATGATACAGTTAAGAGAGTGTCTGTGATCAGTTTATGTACTTTTTCTGGAGTTATACAGGGCAGAAAAGCTGGGGGCTTTTTCAGGAGGTTTGATTTAAACTGTTTCTTTCCACGACAAAGTTTATTAATTAAATGATACATATAACGATAAGATAAAATAATTTTTTGATTCTAGACAGAAATATACGCTTTAACCGATTTCGCTTGCAACTTATTTCCTTATTTCTGCCTTTCAGGATTCTGTATCCAGTATTTGGATTTGTTGGAGGTAATGCTGCCTGTTACCCAAAACAAACCTACAGTCTAACTTCCAAAACTCTAACCACCACTTTACCTCTGGTCGCTACTGCTGGGAAGGCAACTGTTGATGGTAAGATCGGGGCAGTAGTTCAAGGAATTTAGTTGAATTAGGGAAATGTCTCCTGGTATTAATATTTATGATGGTTTTCGCTGAAACGAACTTCTTGTCCACTCGATTGTCTTAATTGTTAATGCAATTCACTTAATGTACAACATCATATCATAATTCATTTGACAGTTATCAAATTATATATTCGCATTTATCCACACTATTTACATTACACGTACAACGTGATATTATTATCAGTGTACTGTGTTCAACACCAACTACACCGATCAATTGCCAATCTGCGAAACATGTATTTATTATTATCACTTCGAGATGGCAGGGCCTACTCTCATGCTGTCTATATGTGATGATTAACTCTGAAAAACTAGAGGACAACTGGGGAATGATCCCAGAACCTCGACATATCGCGTGTCTTGCTCTACCTGGGATCATTCCCCAGTTGTCCCCTAGTTTTTCAGAGTTAATCATCACATATAGACAGGATGAGAGTAGGCCCTGCCATCTCGAAGTGATAATTCATTTGACCTTGTCCTCTTGTCAGGAAGTAGATTTGTGTTCCATACGGGGAAGAAAGTGTCCTACTTCATATACGACAAAGTCAGTGAACAGTTCCCTGATAAATCTATCGTGGAGGAGCCCGTTTCAGATGAGCCAAACAACATAGAAACTATTCAGGAAGCTGTTTTGATCGATGATTCATCAGAGGCTTCCGAGGACACTGTCTCTTCAGAAGAATTATCAGAAGACGTAGTTTTAGTTGAAGAACAAAGTTCTTCAGATACCGTAATTTCTCTTGAGAAGCTTCCTTTACCGACGGAGGTTCCGCCGATTGAAGAGAATCTTGGAATGGGCGACAAGGATCATGATGATATGTACAGCACCCGATCATCACGATCATGATTAATTTATTAATAATACTAATTAAGTTGAATGATATGTCTCTTGGGCATTTTCTACCATGGCTATGTAAAGATCATATAGGCGTTTTGTTGTATGAAGATTTTATAAAAAATGTATTTGGTATTTATGATCGTTGAAGAACCTGTAATTTTCATTATTCAGCATTTTCTCTGTCTATCTTAACAAGCTCCTAATTTAATCTAGATTCAACTTTAGCCATCTTTCTATCTTTCTGGAATTATCATGACATTTCATGATTATTTTACACTGCCATGATACTGTAACTGATATATCACTCTAAAGATAATGTATGGTTGATCTGTTAAAAGCTAACAGTGTATTGTAACTAATCACGTGACACTATTCTCAGTTAATGTATGGTTGATCTGTTAGATCAGTGTGCTCCACACTCATTCTACGACTCTATCACAAGTCCAACAACTTGCCCCTCCGACTATTGGGACAGGAAACCCTCCAAACTCTGGTTTTACTCTTTCTGGATTGTCGTATTCCTGTTTTATGCTATAAGGTAAGACAAAGCATCTGATGTGTGGGTATAGTTTATGCTACCAGGCAGACAATAATGAAACTGCAGATAGTGAAATGTAGTTTAAGTATAATTAAAAGACATTACGATATATATATGATCGATGAGGATTGGGACCCATTTTTCCACTTATTAACCGTCGAAAGATCATCCGTTTCTTCAAAATCAGTCCTTCTTGTCAACATTAATTTCAATAATTTAAGATCTTTGATAGAATTTTCTGGAATTCAAACGGAAGTCAGGTTATCATTACAGGTTATGTATGGGTAACTCAGCAACTAACATTTACAAGAAAACATCTAATTATATCCGCGGATCTTCGACATCGCCAACCAAATCAGAAGAAAGCGAAATTGGTGTAGTTGTTGTCAGAGAGAGAAGGAGGTTGGTTGTTGACAATGTTTTTTAATATATATTACATTATTTACAGTGTATTAATTAGGATGGACTGGTTTGATCCCGATCAAAAGCTTGACGGTCACACATTTGCGCAAATTAAAATCGTTTTACGTCGCGCGCTATGAGTTTTGGTCTGGGTAGCACAGCAATGAAGCGGCGCGCGCACACACAATTACATGCATTTCGCGAAAATTCGTACGTACGTACGTTTGATCGATCAGCTAGATCTGTCTTAAATAGAATTTGCGCACTACTTCTATTTTAATTCTTGAACATGTTATTCAGTGTAATCAGCATTGCCAGACATTGACTAATTTTTACCTCTGATTAAAAAAACTGATGCGATCTACAGTTTACAACCTGACAATGATTCTTCAGCTTCCTAGTGATTGTGTGGTCTTTTCTGTCTTTGGTTTTCACTGGAACCTTACTGTTGCTGGGATCTCTAAACCCTTTGCTTTTTTAGACTTGCACATATCAATAAAGGGGGGTGTCACGTCCGTCTATGTCCGCTTGTCTCATAGAATCCAAAAAGGACAGGACATAGGCGGACATAGGCGGACATAGACGGACATAGGCGGACATAGGCGGACATAGACGGACATAGGCGGACATAGGCGGACATAGACGGACATAGACGGACATAGGCGGACATAGGCGGACATTAATGGACACCTAAATTGCTAAATAAAATGTTCAATTTTTGCTGTTAAAGGGGATCATGTTTTTTGTCCGTTCGGTACCCTATATTTTCAAAACGGACAAAAAATAGAGCGGACAAAAATGGACAAAAACGGACAAAAATGGAAATAACATTTAGATGCTTCCTCCTCCTACTCTTCCTCCTCCTCCCCCTGGGTCTTCCTGATCTTCCTCAGTCCTCTTCCTCCTCCCCTCCTCAGTCCTCCTCCTACTCCTCCTCCTCGTCCTCAGTCCTCCTCATCAGTCCTCAACAGTCCTCCTCCCCAGTCCTCCTCCTCCTCCTGAGTCCTCCTCCTGGGTCCTCCTCCTGGGTCCTCCTCCTCCTCTTCCTCCTCAGTCCTCCTCCTCATCCTTCTCCTCAGTCCTCCATCCTCCTCCTCAGTCCTCCCCCAGTCCCCCTCCTCCTCCTATTCAGTCCTCCTCCTCCTCCTCCTCCTTCTCAGTCCTCCTCAGTCCTCCTCCTCCTCCTCCTCCTCCTCTTCCCTCTCAGTCATCCTCCTCAGCCAATAGCCATCCTCCTCAGTCCTCCTCAGTCCTCCTCCTCAGTCCTCCTCCTCCTGGGTCCTCCTCCTCCTCTTCATCCTCCTCCTCTTCCTCCTCGGTCCTCAGTCCTCCTCCTCCTAGGTCCTCCTCCTCATCCTTCTCATCAGTCCTCCTCCTCCCCAGTCCTCTCCCAGTCCCCCTCCTTCTCCTCCTCCTATTCAGTCCTCCTCCTCCTCCTCCTCCTCAGTTCTCCTCAGTCCTCCTTCTCATTTCTCCTAAGTCCTCCTCCTGAGTCCTCCTCCTGGGTCCTCCTCCTCTTCCTTCTGAGTCCTCCTCCTCCTCCCTCTCAGTCATCCTCCTCAGTCATCCTCCCCAGCCATCCTCCCCAGCCATCCTCCTCAGCCATCCTTCTCAGTCATCGTCAGTCCTCCTCCTTCTCAGTCATCGTCAGTCCTCCTCCTCAGTCCTCCTCTTCCTCCTGGGTCCTCCTCCTCCTCCTCCTCCTGGGTCCTCCTGGGTCCTCCTGGGTCTTCCTGATCCTCCTCAGTCCTCTTCCTCCTCCCCTCCTCAGTCCTCCTCCTACTCTTCCTCCTCGTCCTCAGTCCTCCTCATCAGTCCTCAACAGTTCTCCTCCTCCCCAGTCCTCCTCCTCCTCCTCCTCCTCAGTTCTCCCCAGTCCTCCTTCTCATTTCTCCTAAGTCCTCCTCCTGAGTCCTCCTCCTGAGTCCTCCTCCTCCTCCCTCTCAGTCATCCTCCTCAGTCATCCTCCTCAGCCATCCTCCCCAGCCATCCTCCTCAGTACTCCTCAGTCCTCCTCCTTCTCAGTCATCGTCAGTCCTCCTCCTCAGTCCTCCTCAGTCCTCCTCCTCCTCCTGGGTCCTCCTCCTCCTCCTCCTGGGTCCTCCTGGGTCTTCCTGATCCTCCCCAGTCCTCTTCCTCCTCCCCTCCTCAGTCCTCCTCCTACTCTTCCTCCTCGTCCTCAGTCCTCCTCATCAGTCCTCAACAGTCCTCCTCCTCCTCCTGGGGCCTTTTCCTGGGTCCTCCTCCTCCTCCTCCTGGGTCTTCCTGATCGTTCTCCTCCCTCTCAGTCATCCTCCTCAGTCATCCTCCTCAGTCATCCTCCTCAGCCATCCTCCTCAGCCATCCTTCTCAGCCATCCTCCTCAGTACACTTCAGTCCTCAAAATGTTTGTCCGCTAATGTCCACCAATGTCCGCTAATGTCCACCGACCACCAATGTCCATCCAAGTCCGCCAATGTCCGTCCGGGTCCGCCCCCCCCCCCCCCCCCCCCCCCCCCCCAATAAAGTAATAGCATACTTTCTAAACGAAGTAAGACAAGTTTAATTTTAGCATAATTTTCAGTTCATTGAGTAGAGATGACGATGACGATATCGCCCACGAGTTTTGGGAAGAAACGAAACATAGAGACGGAAAAACTCGAATGAAACGTGTCCTCAAAACTTATCCACTGGTAACCAACAATTTAAAGATTTTGACATAACTTTATTTTTTACTTCCCGTGATTGAGGCATGACAAAGGAACGTGTTCATTTCTGACTACAATCTAACCTATTAAATGACAACATCACTTTCAGGGATTTGTGAAATTGCCAGTTCCCTGTTTACATCCTGACTTCACGAGGGTGATGCTACCGAACTACGATATAATGGGCAAACTACAGTGCCGGAATGAACCTGAAGAGGAGGAGGACATAGCAAACGAAACATGAAGAGCTGAGAAACTGACAAGCTGGCTTGATCTGATGTTATCTTGTTTTTGTTTTCATGTCTTTGTGTGCTTTGCCGTCTGGTTGATCTACCTCGGAGTGTATTTACTTTAATCAAGAGATCATATATCAAGAGAAAGGTGACTGAGTAGGGTTCAGCTTCAAGTTCTAGTTAATTACCTTGAAGGTTCCTTTAATTTATATTATTTACATCTATCTCCTTATTATATTAATTGTTTATTATCGTTTGTCATAGGAATGAATATCTTTTATTGACTCCAACGGGCTAATCATTTTCATTTATCTTCAATGATTTGGTTCCTAATTTACTAGCTGTTTATCGTAAGGTTATCTCATACTATATCGTTCTTGGAACGTTAACTACAAACGTTTTCTAAATTAGTATGGAATCGAAATGGTAAATCTGTTCCAAGGCGATGTCATCTTTATCGATGGAACCAGCTACAATTTCAAAACAAAATCTCGGATTAAAAACACGGTCATCGATGGCGGAGGACAAGTTTCATTTTCTTTGAACAAAAAGGTCAGAATTTCTAGTTTATTGAAATTTAAATAGCACCAGGATTCACATAAATCTATTTATTATGGCTTAGCTGTATTACAGCTGTGTAGTGTGTTAACTGGAGGTGGCCGGTGGTGAGCTAGTCGACAGCAAAACTAATGATAATAATAAAATATTGATATAACAGGTCAGCTGTGTGCTAAGTTCGGACGTGCTAAAGTTTAAAGCCAGCTCTAGAGGGGGAACCTGCAAGAAGCTAGGTATTCCTGTCGTGTCGGAACGTTATGTTGATGAGTCTTCTGCTTTAGGCATCAAACAGGTTTTAAAGTATATTTGAATCTTTCATGGGTTTTCCAATCGTCCTTAGGGGTCGTTCACATATTACGTAATCAGCCGAGGGGGGGGGGGGGGGTTATATGCTTACGGTTGATTAGCTAATAGCTCACTCTTTAAAGGTTGCCTAGAAAGTCTGACGTTCTTACTAATTTGCCTCTCCATGTTATGATCCTCTTAAATTTTAGAGTTACAGTCAATATGAGGAGTTTAGTGCACAAGAAAGGACGGATTCTGGAAAATTCCAGCTTGATCTGGGCGAGGAACCGAGACAAGTCCTCAGTCAGGAGCGAAAGCAGGAACTCCTTTCATCCGGTGAGATCATCTCAATGAATTGGATTCGGACTGTTTCACGTTGTCACTCAACCTTTATTTTCTTAACAATTGGTATTTTATGGAGACAATTCGCGGAAGTAGTATAATAGAACAATTCCATATTTTCAGTTACGAAATGTGCTGTTGCTACCCTGGACACAACTGGGATGACTAGGCTAAAGCTATGTTATCTGAACAAAACTGAGCTCTGGCTCCGCAATCCGTCGTCTTATCGCGTCATTAAGCGAGGCGCTAAGACAAATTGTAAAGTTTGGGAGATGTCAGATAGGCTGGAGGCACTCTTTGTGTTCACAACCATCTCAAATAAACACTATCTGACCCAGCATCTACGCGAAAAATGGTTTGAAGAGAAACCATTTGAGGTAGAACGACTCAATCTGGAATTGAATGTTCTTCCCCATAAAATGAGAGTGTTTTCCTTGGTTAAATTCCTCTGGGATACCGCTGGGGATGCTTTACATTTACTTCGAGGTTGCCAATTTACCCTCCCGAAACTGGTTCGAATTGAAAGTATCATATTGGATTTGATGGAAATCTTGAAAATCGAGCCACATGGTGGACAACTGATAGGAACTCTCGTTAAAGAACTTAGAGCTGCCGGTGTTCCAAATGCTTACGCTAACGTTGTGAATTGTAGAGGGGTAAAAGATTTGGTGGTACTGTTGGACTGCATAAGGATTCTTAAGGACAGAATCCCTCTTTCTCAAGGTAAGAGTCATTCGATACTTCTAATTATAAATTGTAATCAGTCATAATACTTTTATGAATAAATTATTAAAGACGATTTGTGAATAAAGTAAGCAAAAAGTAATTTTTAAGTGAATGACTTTATGTTTATTTTTTCGCAATCTGGTAAAAGGTATTTCAGGTATCTCCACTGCTGAAGATATCTATCGAGCAGTCGGTTGCAAGATTGGACTTACTCAAATGGCAAGCAAGGAGGTTCAGTCGGCCATAGAAGCGATTAAGTAATTTAAACCTTCATTTTCCTTACTTTATCAAAAAATTTCCTGTTTTTTTGGGTTTCATCATCTTAACGAAATCACCTCACAGATCAGACAGTGGTTTCCCCGCAGTATGCTACTCACTAGAACACCCTTCCGCCGTGATGCAACAAGTCAAATACCCCTCTGCCCCCACTAAAGTTCTCTTCCACGCCACTGCTACCGCTAACGTCTGGGGCGTTTTGTCCAGGGGACTTGTTTTGCCTTGGCAGGTGGGTTGTGACAAAATGAATAATACTATTCAGCAAGTTGTGTCAGCAGCCACGTCATGTTTAAATATTGTTAGATAAGATAGTAAATCGTGCCTTTCGTTCTGATTTATTTAGCCGATAGAAAGTGAACTTTACGTTAATTTCCAATCCTGTATCATTAAATGTATGCTACATGTTTGGCAGGTTGAAAACGAACTTGGTATCATCAGAAGGGATCATGGTCGTCTGGGTCGAGGAATCTACTTATCAGAAAACCCAATGTAAGTACTCTCTACTCAATACTAGATCATACCTGGTAGATCTTTTCGGAATTGTACTTTGATTTAAAATTATACCTAAAAGTATGATCATATCAGTCTTTAAGATTCCTCCCTATCTTACTATCTGAGATCTTTTTCATTTGCAAAGCTACAACTTAGTAAACCCTCCTAAACTCAGCTCACTTTTCCAGGGACAGCATCAGATACTTGCACCCTACTGAACCTTCTCCCCGAGGAACGATGTTTCTAGTGGTGTGTGAGGTGGTAACAGGACACCAGTACGCTACCTCCAAGGAACTGCTCGGTTCCGCTGCTCCTCCCTCTGGGTAGCTATTTTTCAGTGAGACTTTGCTGTGATTGAATAGAATAAATCAACGTTAGATTCAAGTTAAAAGCATGCTCGAAATTGCCGGGCGTTGTTCATCATCATTACCATCCTCATTCCTCTGCCGAACTTACCTTCACTGATATTAAATTGTGTTTAACGCTGCAGATCATTTCAGATACGACAGCGTCGTCTCGACGACCCGTTCTGAGGACGATTTGTCCTGTTTCGACTACAAGGAGTTCTGTATATTCGACACTACCCGTCTCAAGATAACCGGACTGATCGAGTTCGCGGTGGTGCCTGATCCGAACTTTCTGTATCCTCCCGTGCAATTACATCTTCCTTGGATTGATGAGGTGAGGGCATTTTTAAATAGACTGTTCAGTCATTCAGTGTTGGGATGTTTCGAGTTTAACGTAATGAATTTAAAACATACAATCATCCTAATTTCCTTGATAAAATGATTTTTATGCAATTCATATTTCTACCAACAGATCTTTTTTTTTAATATAACTAGTTTTACTTCTAATTGACCGTTCAATTGATGCGGCAATAATTCAGGAGCCGAAACCAGAAAATGAGGATAAATATGATGATGTAACATCGCTAGATATTGATGACATCTTAGAAGGAACGGTGGTTAAATCTGTGGAGATCGGTCTGTTGGTTCAGGGCAGTCCAGTCCCCCTAACAACTGTCAATGTCGTGGCAAGCATTACTGATATGGTTGGTAAGTTGGCATGGGTATCCTTTGAGAAGTTGGCGCTTGTCAAGATATTACTTTGGTTGGTGGTGTGGGGAGCAGCTAGCTGATTGGTCTATAATAACTATATGTTACACATCTAGCTTTCATATCTTTTATTCACATCTAGTCCCTTCATTCCAGGACAAGTAACAGTTCTACAATCCTACACTAGTTGTTGTGATGAGGAACGGGAGGCTAAGTATGTCTTCCCACTTGACGAGGGCTGTGCAGGTTGGCTAATCTAACGTTATAAGTTAATACGTGAAATTGTGATAGCTTTTTTATTGGCTAATTCTTGATTAGCTCTATTGCAATATTATAATCATTCATAATCGCACGGCCTTCGTAAATTATAGTTCCAAAACTATATGTTATAATTCAAAAACTATAAAGTTTAGTTCAGAAACTAAAGGAATGTATAATGTATAATGTATATCTTAAACAGTGAGCGGATTTGAGGCGTATATAGGAGAGAAACACATAGTTGGTCAACTGAAGAAGAAAGAAGAAGCGAGGCGGGAGTATAGGCAGGCAGTAGCAGCCGGTCATGGTGCTTATCTTATGGAACAGGAAGAGCCGGTAAGAAAATAGGGAGAAACGTTTTTCAAGGGAGATACTTTGGAATATTTACCAATACAAGTTGTTCATCAATCATCATACATATCTTCTAACAAAAATCTAATCATCATTTCAGTTTTGCCATTTGTATTGGGTATAAAGAACATGATTCAGTCATACATTCCATACATCATGTATGTATTCAATTTTCTATCAATTTCAACCTTATCTGTATCTTGGATTGATAAGGGCCCCTCTACCGCAGGACCTGTTCTCACTTTCACTGGGTAACATTCCGGCTGGCGAGGTCACCATCCACATCAAGATAATCTATGTCACCGAGTTAACTGTTCTGGACAACGATATACTCTTCACTGGTCTGTATACATCTCTGAGGTTTCGAACATGAACTACATTGTGTGGCTTCAATATCCCTTCTAACGTGACCAATATTTCAATGATTAATTCATTATTATTTCGCGGAGTCCGCCCCATTCCCAGCGCCTCACCCCGTCCCAAAAATGTTACTTTCATAAAAAATGATAGATGATAAATTTGTGAAGAAAAAAGGGAATAACATTTGAATGATTTCACTTTGTGTGCAGTGCCGAGTCTGTTGAGCAGTAGCAGCACAGGGTTGGATAAAATGACACAGCTGACAACTGAGACCGACCGCGTGACGTCATCAGAGACCATGTTCAACATATCAGCTAACATCACCATGCCCTTCAAGATACTGAGTATCTTCTCCTACACCCACTCTCTTAATGTCAAGGTAGAGTTTTATCTGTCAGAGCTGATCGTTTGAGCACGACGGTTCCGAGTTATAGTTATATTCTGAGTCCTGAGATCTGATATTCTTGGAAAGTTTAAAAAGCTGAAACCCCTATCTTCCTCAGATGACAGATACCCTAGCGATGGCTAGATGGTCGGGTGTCCTAGAACCACACCAAGACTTTGAACTTCGTATCTCGGTTTCCGAAGTTAACCGGCCCCGAATGTGGGTAGAGAAATCCGGTAACACTGAGGCTGCAATGCTTACCTTCTATCCTGATATCTCTGTTAACTCCGTTGGAGGCAGAGTTAACGTCAAGATTATCATAGACTGCTCTAAGTCCATGAAACTCAAATGGAAAGGTTAGGATTAATTCCCACGTACCGTATTCCTAACCATTATGTTATGTTTGTGTCAAATATTATTAGGGTTAACAGGGTTAACGTAGTTACACGTCAAAACAAGTGCCCCATTTTCAGGTGAGTCAGCGGGGTTATTACTACTTCTGCAAATACAGAATGAAACTTTGATTAAATTGTAGTTATTTGATAATTAACTTACTTAACATTATACCATCCAGATACGATCCAGCAAGCGCTGTTGTTGGTGGAACGTTTGCCAGGAGAGTGCTGGTTTAATGTGTCCAGTGTTGGGGTAGGACCTGGTATTGAGTGTTTTCCAGTTTATTGTCGCGTGACCGCAACAAGCAAGAAACATGCTGTTCACTTTTTAAAGGTTTGTGCTGGTGTATCAGGGGCTTTTGTTGGCCAAGTAAATCAGCCGAGTCACCATTTATCCGTCAGACGATCGCCAAAAATGGCTTTTTGATTTTTTTTTATTGGTTAATGTCTGGGAGATTAGGAGGCGCCGTAGTATGACGTCCAAGTCACTGTTCCCAACAGAGAATCGAATTTGACGGAGAAACTTATATAAAAACTTTTCCAGCACATCCTGAAGCCTGGAGAGTACTGCACCGAACTGTGGAGCATGGTTTACAACGAGTATCTGCTGAGTAAAGATAGCCAGGATATAGTGAACATGGTGTTTGTTAGTGACGGTGTGGTGACACAACCTGATCTCTGTCTTAACCTGGCTGCTGTTCTCCCATCCAACATCCGGTTCTTTTCTGTGTTGACCAGGTTTGTCGGGCGTAAAGATGTAGTCAGGGTTGAAGTGGAGTCTTGATATATAGCAATGTTTTTGCAATGACTTCATGAAGTCAAGTTGTAACTAAATGAATTTAGTTACAACTTGTTAAGCAAAATTTGCCCAAAATGTTTTATTTAATATTTAATATAACGTGATATAACCCTATAATCTGATTGGTCTCCACAAAGATCAGATTGATATATTGCAGTCGTATTTTAATAATTTTATGATAGTTAGGTAATTGAAACGGGGATTGCCGTTAAACATGATACCCCCACAGAGAGGACGGAAACAAACATTTCTTACAAGCATTAGCAAAACAAGGCAGCGGCTCCTTCCTCTTCCTAAACTCCAAGGAAAAGGGGAAATGGATGAACACGGTTTGTTCGATAATGACTATGTTCGTTTGTTCGTTCGTTTGCTGATGTTTTATCTCTTTTAATGTTCATGTTAGACGTAAATAGTTTGTCGGAAATAATAGTCACTGTCACCAACTTGTAGCCAACATTGTGCTAATTTAATCGTTCGTCCAATATTTGCTACAAGTTGGTCACTAACGTATAATCATCAAATATATATATTTCACCCTCATGATATTTGCAGAAATCACGTCCTTCAACCAAGTAAACTTTTTTTTCTAACAGTCGAGTCACGATTGATAATTTTAAAAGTAACTTGTACAGATACCCTAGTTTCACTTCTCCAGGTGGGGATTCTGTATGAAAAGTGCAAAGAACCAGCGTTGGACGAAGTTCAGTTAAAGTGGAATATGTACAACAGCGGAGACACTGTTAATCAGGCTCCCCTGCTCATATCATCTCTCTTCAACAAACACAGACAGGTTTGTATCTTGATCTTAGAAAAGCCAAATGTCCGCTCTATCCTCCCAGATCCTGACTTAACTGTTTCAAACACCCTCACACTCACAGCTTCTGAAAACTTCAGATAGTGTACGGATACGTGCCCAACTGCAGATCAGCGTCTCTTCTCGCTCATCTTGGAGATCAGGTGTTGGACACGCTAGTCAGTGTGGAGGAACTTAATGTTAAGCAAGGTTTGAGGGAATCTCTTATCAATTTTTAGCTGAAAAGTTAATTTCCTACTCGTTCAGGTCGATGGGGAAGATTTTGGGATTTTGGATTGCCTGTTAATGTTCTTATTTCAAAACCGACTCGTAATATAATACCAATCATGACGCGGCGTCATCAATTTTAAATTGATCCAATTATCAAATTAACCAGTTAGCTAGAACTTCAAACTACCCAATGATCAGGGAGTGTATTACACAAGCTTACTGCTCGAGCAATGATAGATGATTATGTAAATGGGGTCATGAGCGAGGACCAGAGACTACACGAGGTAAATCTCTATTTTATATTTCACTAATAATACACTACAAGAGATCTTGTTAGGATATCAAAACGAAAGACATAACGTGCAGAACTCACTAAACTTGTACAACAATATCTGCAATTTATAATCCAAAAATTTGAAGTGGACTACGAAATTTTCACATTAAACTTAATTTTTACTTAAACTACTTCAGAGCCAGCAGCGCAAGAGAAAAGATGAAATAATATCTTTATCCCTGGAACACTCTGTAATATCGCCCTTCACCAGCTTTGTAGCAGTTGAGGAGCGAGGTGAGGGTGAGGTGGTTCAGAAAACTGTAGATGTTGAGACTCTCCTGTCAGAGATCAGAGTGGACTGCATTCCTTACGTTGGGTACTCGGACGTTTCAAAGTTAGAGGTTGGAAGAGTCGCATTTTTTTAATTTTTAATAACTTGCCATGTATGATGTACAATGTACATTGTGCAATGTACATCTTTAAGATGATTTTTGGCAGTGTGTAGCCTCTTATATGTGTACATTGTATATCTTACCTGGTTCTATTGACGGAAGCATGTTAAATTGTGTGATTTTCTCATCGTTTTGGTACTCAAAGTTGGAAAATTTTTGACCCACTATTTAAATTTTATCAGTAAAACTTGTTATTGATGGTGACTCGACTACAGTAATGAGTAAATTGATTTTTTAAATCACAGGTAAGGGAACAGATACGTTGCCCTGATCAGTATGATGAAATTATAAGATTGATTGAAAAAAAAACCTCTACGTACAATGTTCCTGACTCACCCGATTCGGATTCTGGTGATTCGAAGACGGAATCCTCGTCTGACGAAGACGAAACCGATTACTCAACGGTGGTTCTTGATCTAGGATCTCACAGGATAAAGGGAGGGTTTGCTGGAGATGATGCACCCCGAGCTGTGTTCAAGTAAGCACATATAGATAAGAACTACACTTTTGCATTTCATTTCTTTACTTATTTCTTATAGATATCAATATTTCATGCGTATTAACCTAGAAAAGCTCAAAAGCTGTTAAAAATTATAAAATTTTGTAAAATTCCCCAGATCAGTCATAGCAATACCTGCAGCTCGTGGAGTTATGTTGGGTATGGGCGGCAAAGATTACTTCGTCGGCGATGAGGCCGTTTGCAAAGCTGGAGTAATGGGAAGACTAGATAATGCATTCGTAGACGAACCATCCAATGTTGACATTTCGGCTCTAAGGACGGAAAGTCCATTACCCTCCAGCACTGATTCTGAAGGTGAAGAAGAGGGGTCCCGAGTTGGAGTCCCACTAGTTATTGACATGGGTAGTTACATGGTCAAAGCTGGCTTTGTTGGAGATGATGAGCCTTTTGCTGATTTTCCTCCCCTCGTAGGAAGACCAAGGCATCGGGGGGTTATGGTTGGTATGGGACAGAAAGATTCGTACATTGGTAGTGAAGCGATGTCAAAGCGGGGCATACTAACGCTTACTAACCCTCTTGCTCCACCAAGAAGAACAGCTCAGTCTGTAGATGGTAGTCGACCACAACAAGCGCCAACCTATGCACAAGCGCCAGTGTATACACAATGTAGTTCAACTCCTCCTGCCCCACCGGGGGCCCCGTCACCACCTCGTATTTTAGCACAGAGAGCACTGAGGCGGAGTCTTAGTGGCTGTTCTGCGCCAACTCCACCGGGTGCGCCACCTCCACCATGTGCAGCACCTCCGCCAAGTGCGCCACCTCCGCCAGGTGCGCCACCTCCGCCAAGTGCGCCACCTCCACCATGTGCGCCATTACGAGCACCGTCACCACACGCACGGCCACAACAAAGAGCAGCTACAATGTTATTCGGTTCAGCTCGAGGGCCAACTTCAGCTCTTGCCCCAAAGATGGAAATGTCTAATAGACCTGGATCAATGTTTGGAAGTTTAAGTTTTGGTGCTACCCAGTCACTTTCCCGACCACTATATACAATAGGTGCACTACCATCACCAGATGCACGGCCATCATCAGACGGAATGTGTTCTTCTTCACGACCAATCACTGCCGCTGCACCGTTAGTCAAGAGTAAAGAATCTTCCCTTTTCTCTCAGCCTAAGTTTAGAAAGTCCCCAGATTCATGGCCAACACCGTCTACATCAAACATCTGTGGGAGTTCTAATTTTGGTGGCTCAGAAGCACCTCCACAATTTGGAGGTGTGTATGTCTCCCAGGCACCACCACAACCTGGATCAATGTCTGGAAGTTTAAGTTTTTGTGACGCACCATTTTCAAGTGAGGATGAAGAAGTGAAGTTAATGCAGAATTATCCTCCAGGAAAGGGGTTAGGGAAGGGAGGTTCGGCACTATCCCGACCACATGTCTCACAGGCACCACCACCACCACCCCAGGCACCATCACCACCTACATCATTCATGTGTACTATAGGGAGTGATCCAGTTGATGGTCCACAGAAAAGGTTTGCAAGGTTCAACACCAACAACAACACTTTAGCTAAAAAATCCAGTCCAGCACTGGCACAGGATCTACAATCACGAAGACAGGTGATCAAGAATGAAAAAGTATCTGATGATGTTACTTCCGATACTGATGAATGGGATAGCTCCAGCAGCAGTTATTCTGGAGCTAATATCGGATACAGTAATGACAGAAAATGTTTTACTGCGGAGGTAAATTTTCAATTTTCTACGCCATAGTAAGAAGTGACTGTACAATGTAGTTCTCCTTGTGTCCAAGTCCAACGAACGAATAAGTGAATAACAGTGAATAACTTGAGTTACAAAACGCACAACTGATTTGAGGGCTAAACGTATATTCTTATCTTTTTATTTGAAACATAAAATAGCATATGCAGAATAAACATAAATGACATTGAAAATATCCCCGCAGACCCCATTAACGTCTGCCCGGAGCATAAATTCGGGAGGGTTGGGCAGTGCCCCACGCTTCCAATTTATGGCAGGATCTGCGCTCTCTCCTCCACCAATGTCAGCACCCGTCGAAGAGTACTTGGCTCAGGACGAGGTAAGACTTTATTCTGAAAAAATCTTATCGGAGAAAGTAGGTCAATCAGTTATTTTGGCATTAGAAGAGTAGTGTGATGCTATCCCATGAGAGTTCGACTTCCGTGGCTACGTTAGTTAAAGGTGCACGTACAGTTCGTCACGTACGGAAGTTCGACACGCACTAAAGTTCGACAAGGCTGTCGAAGACACGCACTAAAGTTCGACTCTGTCGAACTTTGGTGCGCTACTTGGACTATAGTTCGACACGTACTGAAGTTCGACAAGGCTGTCGAATCTCAGTTCGATACCTGAACACTAGTCCTTCCACTTTTTCTGTTGAGGAGGTGCGGGCTGTCGCATCATCTTCTGGTTAATCTTACAATCCGTCAGATCTTGTTCCTTCTTCAAGACATCTATGAAGCGCAGAATAGTGGGATTAGTGCACTCGAAGGACTTCTCATCGCGCTTTCTGTTCAGGTAATACCGGTATCCCTCGTGGATGACGTTACGGGAGCCAGAACTGCGACCAGGAATGAAGGTGATGCATGGTAAAAACATGATGTTCGATACTAATGTTCATGTTGTACCTTATATACACATTAATGTACCGTCACTATTGTGACGGTACATTAGAACCAGACAGAAACAAAGTGTGAAGGGCCTGATCGGAACCCCTCGGTTTAAGTTCCTTGTTTAACACTGCCGTACAGCAAGGACATTCACCGAGTTCTCCAATCTACCATTTCCAACCTATCATCTCAGCATACGAGCTTGTTATCGCAATCAAATGCCGATGTGATCATATAGCGTGCAGCCACAGTCGGTGACCGACAACTGGGAACCACTCATTCCGGGCTCCCACAAGTATAACATCACATGGCCCAATCAGTTACGTATCATTTGTATGTGATCCATATTATAACCATCCTAACAGCCGGACAAACAAGAACCTGGATAGGGTTCATATGGCAGTTTAGTAAGTAGCTGTGTATTATGAAGTATATTAAGAAGTGTTTGAGCTCTCGGCATGTGTATATTATGTTGAGTTTGAACTATCATTATCTTTTAAAAATCTTTGTCTTAATCTTAATTAATGCTGAAATACATACAGCACAGCTGTGAAATCAGTGGAAATCTGAATGTTTTAAGTATCTCCAGAGGTTCTTAGTTGTCGGGGATATGTCATGATTGGTTCCTAGTTGTCGGAGCTGATTGGATTTCCCAAGCTTGCATGTATATGAGTAGCACCAGTGCGTTCCATAAGAACACGAACATCGATATTCGGCCTTCATTAATACCACATGATCTGTTCATGACGTGAACTGTTCGATTACAAGCAGTAAATGGAGAGGGAAAAATATTTGTCGAACTTTAGTGCACCAAAGTTCGACATGTGTGATTTTTGGCGAACTTTATTTGTCGAACTTCGGTGAGTGCTGAACCACAGTACGTGAATCTTAGTTATACATGGTGAAACCTACGTAGACTGGGTTACCTTTGTGGCAATATATTTCATTTTTTGCATGATCGTTGTCAAACTACCCTTGTTAAACAATTTTCTCTATTTCATATTCTTTCATCATCCCTTGATGTTGTTACAATGGTGATAACCCATTTTCACAGGATGTCTCTATGACGCAGGATGTCATGTGTGACTACGATCCCACAATCGAAGATCAAGATGAGGTAATCCATTATTTCATAATCAATATTCTAGCTAGTTTTTTAGCAACAAATTATGATTAATTACTTATTATGTAACGCTCTATTCGACATTCGGGCGATCAAGTTTGGGATCATCTACATGTATCAAAATTATATTTTAGCCCTACACTAATAGCATACGTTTGTTTAATTCGCTCTCTTATCTGCTTTCTTATCTCGCCTTGTTTAACGGCGAAATTTTGTGCCTTACACCTTGTAGCTTAGCCTTACATCATAGCAGCTGTGAACGACGCGGAGATTGACAGTATTATGTTTAAAATTAAAGCTGAGGATTGGATGGCAAAAGTTATGAATCAATTCTGTTGTGAAGCACCAGTTGACATGACTTCTGTACAGTGCAAACATTTTTTGCTTAAAAGGTCATTAAGTTTAACGGGTAAAGTAAAGTTTGCAGCGTTTCTGTCAGAATCGATTCATTTGGTTCACTTTTAAAATGACAAGTTAAAGAAGATGAAAAACGTACTGAGCCCAATCAAGAATCAGTTGATTGATAATCAAAAATTGGTTATCAGAGCTCAGGAATCAATAATTGACTGCAAAGAAAAACAGTCGCAGGCAGTGCAGACCGTCGTTAAATTTAAAGACACGGTAAAGTCAGTTTATATCGTACAGCGATGCAGTTCCCCCCCCCCCCCCCCCCCCTCCCCACGAGACTTTGAAGGAAGTCGTCAAGTCTGTGGTGTGCAAGCAGAAGACCGGATCAAGAACTTGAACAGAACTGTCGGAGACATATATGAGGAGATTGGACTGAAAGTTAGAAAGTAGCAATGGAGCTCAGTAGAGTTGGCAAGTTGAAGGAGAAGACTTCTCGGCCAGTCAAGGCTACTCTTCCAGTTCCAGTACAGCCTATCAGATACTCAATCAAGCCCGAAAGCTGCGACATTCAGAGAAATTTAGTTCAGTCTTCATTAGTCCAGACCACTCATTGGAGGATCGAGTTGAGCGTAGACTTCTTGTTCACAAATTATACTGAAGACGATCACGAGTGAGATGAGTGTGGCTTTTACAAGAGTAAACTTGTTCAATACATGTCTTGCAATTATATTAGGGACGATAGTGTTCGTAAGAGGATGGGGACTTGTCCTGTTGTGATAAACAATTTTATTTGTTGAGTTATTCTTTTTGGCTGTTGGAGCATATAAAACTTTAAGTTTTCGCAATATTTGTCAGATGAGGTTTAAATTCCGTCGTTAAGTGCTGATCTACACTGTGTGCCTTTTTTATTAAGGGTGCATTGCCCTTGCAAGGGGTTAATAATATTTGTATTATATATTTGTTAAGATTAAAATTGGTCATTAGAACCACCCGGGCATCGTCTCGGTTTAAAATCAAAATATATATCTTGAGATGCTTATATTGTCACCAGGTAATAAGTATTACAAAAAGCGTATTTACCTAAATTTATTTGACTTATCATTTTCAGCCACTCGAGGAGAGATCACTGAGATGTGCTGGCGTTGCGATGGTGCAAGAACAACTCAGTTTAAACGTAGAGAAAGTGTTGGATAGAAATGCTAAGTTGGATCTCAACTTGAAATCTGGTCTCAAAATGTTGCAGAGATCTGCCGTTTCGTTTGAATCTAGCAGCCAAGAAAGATTCCGATGCATCAGTTCGCCACTGAGTGCGAAAAGGTATGAAGAGGAAATAAATGAAGCTGGATTTTATTCCGGTGCTATGCACCTGAGGGAATTTGACCTGAGCACGATCTCACCTGATCACGGATTTGATGGTTTCACCGCGCAGGAAAGAGAAAAGAGGAAACTTGAAGCTGAACTGAAAAGATATTTTGCTGAAACGGAAAAAAAGTCGCCGTGGTATAGCAATATGATGGCGTCACTGAAGTTCGATGAATTCTGTGAATTACTTACAAAATTTCCAGAGCGAGAATCAGAGATGATGAAGCTCTCGAAACAAAAGCGTAATGGCATTTTTTCTGGTTGTGAGAAATTGCTCTATATCTTTTCCCTAGAAATGAAACGCAATCTTGATGATGGAGAAAATCTGGAATCATGGAAACAAAGCATCTTTCAATTCATCTGCAGTAATGATGTCCAAAATGCAGCAGACGATATTTTAGAAGGGGACTTGATCTACGAAGCTGCGTTAAACAGCCTTCTATCAAACGGGCTGAACAGTTTGGGACCGAGTGTATCTAAAGAGGTTATCAGTTATGTTAAGTTAGTATGTTGTAGCATGAGGCTTTGTATGGCTGGGATAAGTATGGATGAAGAGGGAGAGGAGGAGGATGAGGAGGCAACAAAATTTAAGGAGATTGCCGTCGAAATGCTAATACGTTGGAAATGGAGTCCATGGGGATCTGATGACTATGACGATTATTCTACTCAGGAACTTGTAAGTTATTTTCTAAATTCTGGAAAGAATGTTTTTTTTAATTCTTAAAGAGGCTGGGCCTAGATGGCCCACGAGAAGATAGCATGAGAATGATAAATGTTTTGTTTTGATCGTGGTTTTCATATTATGTGAGTTGTGCCACAACTAAGATTCTTATTCAGTAAGCGGCACTCTCTGACTCTCAGTAATAATTATGTAATTAGTAATAATTATGTTTCCAGGTATCGGGAATGTACTACATAATATTCTGCGAGAAATTCCTCAACTTTCCCAGGACCCTGACTGTTGCGTGGGATTGGCATTCTTTCTTCTCTCTTCTCGTTTACATAGTTATCAGGGTTCGTAATACTGTGAACTTATCTTATACATTATAGGCTCAACTTCTGCTAGCACAAAGTAGATTAAAGTCATTTGTTAGACTTAATTAATTGACCTGGTTAAAATCAGTTTATACTTTACTAGTGTAACCCGGCCTACGGCCGGGATTTCACTGCCGCAGTTAAAAAGGTAGGAGTAATTACCCGCTGAGTCAAAACCCGCATAGTTTCTTAAACAATAATCTCATAATTAGTTATTTCTTGTGGATAATTAAGTCATTATTAGCCATGAGGCACCACACTCCATGATCATAAGGTCTGAACACCGAGTATTACACCTCATCACTCCCGTCTTGGACCGCTTTCTATTTTTATTTAAATCGTTATAGAAATTAACCCTTGTTAACTCCGCACCACACCCGCATATTATATTTGAAAACACGCATAACATTGTCGTATGAACTCTCTCTCTCTCTCTCTCTCTCTCTCTCTCTCTCTCTCTCTCTCTCTCTCTCTCTCTCTCTCTCTCTCTCTCTCTCTCTCTCTCTCTCTCTCTCTCTCTCTCTCTCTCTCTCTCTCTCTCTCTCTCTCTCTCTCTCTCTCTCTCTCTCTCTCTCTCTCTCTCTCTCTCTCTCTCTCTCTCTCTCTCTCTCTCTCTCTCTCTCTCTCTCTCTCTCTCTCTCTCTCTGCAGTCCAAACAGACCCCAAACACTAACAGTCCCCCCTCCCCTAATAAGCTTAAGGTATAACATTACAGCGAATCTTCCGGGCTAATCCAATTATGACGCTACTTAAATGCAGCTATAACATATTACACAGTAATGAGAGAGAGAGAGAGAGAGCAAGCCCCGTAACTCTTGCCGTTCTGCTCAAGCAATTTTATGTAACGTTTGTGGTACAAAACCATCAATTAAACCACTTACCACCGGCCGATTTTTAAAAAAATTTCCTATGGGCTTCATCAGAGTTTTGTCGGCACTATACCAAAAAAACCAGTCCCGTAACTATTACCGTTTTTTTTTGTATAACTGTTTGGAAATTACACACAGACACACACACAGACACACAGACACACACACATTCTGGTGTTATTAAGTTGATAGCCTCCACGTTGACTATCCAGGAACTGTCAAATTATCCCGATGTCCTCTTTTCAGGATAATCAGGAGTTGATGGAAATGTTTTTATCGACAGTGTCTGATGGGTTTGATCCTGAAATGGGCAGCCGCCGTAGCAGTATCCTGGTAAGTTTCAACGCCTAAAATTTGGTAGCCTTCCAGTGGCCGTTCATAGTTATTAATTAGTGTATACCATTACCAGCTGTTAATTAACATACAACAACAGCAATTTACACAGCAGTTTTATCATTTCAGTACGAGGGAAAGAAAATCGCCAAAGACGCTGAGAGGAAAAAGAGTCGACTATTTGGGTTTCAATGATTTGTGTCATGAGAGGGAACAATACATCCGTTTTAGATGACGAATGTTAATGATGACTAAACTGTTGTATTATGCGTATGCGTACCGTCTTATTTTGTATGTTGTCACTATATTTACTATGGTGGAATTTTTTTGATTTATATTTTTATTCGTGCCGTATTACATTACTTTTAAACAATTGAAGACTTCAAGTTTTGTAACACCTCAGTGGCTTCGATTCATCGACCGCAAACGCCGCAATCTACAATACCAAGTAGCTAGAGCGTTTATCATGACGAATCGTTGTCATTTCTTATATAACCTTCATGATTTGTGATTGTTTTTATTTTTAATTTATATTGAATTATTCAGTTATACTTTCATTTCTAATAATGTGGAATCTTATTGATAAAGAAGATGGTTAGTTTTAAATGTTGAGACATTTTTGATGCTTTTAAAATATGATACATGACAAAGAAATTCGTTTTTAGTTTACAATTTTTGTTTAAATAACGGTAGATGAGTATTACAGATTTTGAGGTTTATATTTGAATTTTATAGAGTTAATGTGCTTACATTCTACAGACATGCAGACGTGATCGGTTGTGGCTTATTAAATAATGAGCCCGTCTATTACTATTTCAAACTGCAGCGTACAGTGTAACTGTACAGCTTATGATTTGCTTATCTGTTTAGTGTTTATAGAAATAATATTTTCCGTGTAAATGGAGTCTCATGTTCAATGTTAATATTTTAGCGGAACTTGGGAAATTGGCAGTGATTTAGATTCCATGTACAGTGTACACCCATGCCCCATACTTATTGATACTTATTGGTTAATTTGGTACCTCAATCCGATAACTCTGAGATATCATGATACCAAATATGTCTGTTCATAGAAACTTTTGTCTCTTCTGCCCACTCATTTTGAAGGGCTCTTTAAAGTATATTATGAAATTTGATACTTTTCACAGTACGGTGCTATCTCGAAAGGTATTCGAGCTTTACCGTAGATTGTGAATTCTTTGGAGTGCCAATCATTTATCAAAATTATCTGAGCTAAAATTCACACGGTCTATTTCGAAGATTTCCCGAGTTTCAAAGAACTTAAACTATCAAAAAATATTGTAGAGTTGCATATCGTTAAATTTTTTCTGTGAATTGATTGTTTTTGACATCATTTGTTTAATTTTTGTAAAGAAGTTTTGACCCAAGAATTAGAGACCAAAATTCCAAAGTATCCTAACATTGAACTATCAAAAAAAAGTTCTCCGATCCTTCGGTAACGAACTCAATTAATAAATCACAGTAAATCACACCTGACGATATTCCATGTTCCTCTTGATGAAAAAGATACTGTAAGAAATATTGAGGCACAGCATATCGAGGAATCAAGCCAGGATTTCTGCATTTTATGAAATCAGTTCAAAAGAGTAGTGACTAGTGAGCACACTCAACATTGTACAGTCCATTTGCATACATATTTCACGGCAGGCCACGCCCCACCACAGCACGTGCTATTGCGCATGTTCCATGTGCGCGGCGCCATTTATGTCAAGGTGGCTGTTAAAAAAGTTGGGTTACAAATGTTTTAATGATTTCGCGCGCGCTCACTATGAGGTACAAGCTGAGTACACTGTGACCGGTGTAGGTAAAGTCTCCCTGTGGCACTTCAAGGAAACATGACTAACAGCTGATTGGATGCCAATTTCCACCCATTCCATATAAACGCCTCCCACCCTGTGGTTACAAGATTATTTGCCCTATTGACGGGACATCTTCACAATACTAAGTATACGAATAACAAGAAGAGCACCACGTTTAGCAACTAGGAACTGAGGCGTACATCGGGCCTCTACACAGCACTAACAAGCGACTAATTGTTCATTATCACATGTTTGTTACTGAATTCACGTGCTGTGTGACACGCTTCCTCCTTCTCTCAGTTTCTCAGTCTATTCTGGAGGAATCTTGAGATTATTGTGAAGTGGGACAAAGTGAGCTGTATAGTTCGTGTATAGTCTTATTGACGAGGTGAAATTATTGATTATTATAATTTATACCGACCTGTACTTATCACACCCTCGACAAACCTCAGAGGGGGGTGATACGCGAGGTGCTATCACCGGATGTGTTATAGTTTGGCAAGATCCGCTGCATCACTACGAGTACCCCTTATCACCGGTCAGAAGCCATGATTGCAACTTCACATTTGCTGGAGACGATCACTTCAGTACCCGTCGTGTGACGTGTCAAGTTCTTTAATCTAATCGAATTAAGGGTTGCACTACACAAAACCTAATAATTGACGTTAATGGAAGTGAAATAGAAACCCTGGTCTCCACTGACACTTTGCCTGTGAAAAGGATTCCTGTAGGCTGGGCATTGACAGGCCAGAATGGGGGAGCCGAGACACGGGGGAGATAACTGGAAGCCAACTAAAACACAGTAACTGGGCAACACCGCATACATTGTGTCCCTTAGTAATAGAGATAACCCACCTAAATTACACAGCATGATAGTTACTGCCATACATTGTTAACGATTCTTCGAATAATGTATCCTTAAAACTTGGGTACTTTAATGATTTTAAGATTCTTGAGGATTTCAATGTTTAGTGATGATCATAATATGGTATTTACGTTGAACAATAAAATCTTAAATAAATGTGAATAATGTGCGTTAATAATCGTATCAATTACCTAAGGACTGTCCTATTAAAAACACTTTACTACATGCTGTAATGGTATTATTACGGCAGTGATACATGACATTTTACTACCGCCTTGTTATTTCACATATGTTTGTTTTACTTGTTCTCCTGCTCCTGTCCACCCACCATGTACACACCTACAGCATACTCCTGACAGCACCTTTCGGTGGAAGTCACCTGGCTCTGATGTCACATCTCGCTCAAATACTCTCAGATAACGGCCATGGTGCTGTGATCGCAACTCCAGAGCGTGACGCTGTGATCAAGACAGCCCATACTCTCCTCACGCCCAGTGATGGAGGTTTTACGAAGAAGGAAAGGTTAGTCATGTCGGCCGCCTGCATGAGGGAGATTCTTAATAAGGACACTACATAGACCACGGTAGTAGATATTGGAGCAGATTGCAGACGTGACGCTTGGGGGAATATTCTCGAACTTTCGTCCGCCTTCTTTTTGGGGGAGATGTTTGTCGAGCAGGTACATCGGCTGAAAATTGATATTATTATAGCAGATGATGCCAACATAGGTGATGTGGCTAAGTTGGCAGGTGACCTGAACATACCCCTCATATGTTTCAGTCCCTGGAGTAACCACTACCGGGCTAAAGAGGCAGCAAACAACTCCCCACTGCTAGCCACGGAACCCTCCCATATGTGGCCCCATTTACTAGACCAAGGCTTCTCAGTTACTGGCTATCTCCATTCTCCAAGCTTACATCAACTATTTCAAGTTTCGAAAGTATGCTGAGCTCCGGGAAGGCAGCACAGCCGATTTAGTTGACGTGTTCCTGGTGAATGATGTGACATATTTCTCATACCAGTACGTGACACTACCTAACTTGTATTTAGTTGGAGGGATCTACTTATCCCCACAATCCGATCCTCTTGATATGGAGTACACAAACTACACTAAGTCTCGGTATGTGGTGTATGTCTCGTTTGGTTCCTATGCTATTCCTGACTGGTTACCTTGGTTTCCAACTCTTTTGGAAGCGGTGGAATTATCTAAAGCTAGTTTGATCATAGCCAAAATCAACCGGCATCCTAGCGATCATGTTCCTAGAATATCTGATAAGATTATATTTAAGACGTGGGTTCCTCAATGTGCACTGCTGGCAAGTGGCAGGGTGAAATTGTTCATCTCACACTGCGGACAGAACAGTCGGATGGAAGCCGCTTACTACGGTGTTCCCATGTTATGTATACCACTTTTTGGGGACCAACTTCTCAACTCGTACCTCATGCAATGGAATAATTTTGGGGTGTTGTTGAAAAAGGAGGGGATAGAAATGCAGAAAGTTCGAGACTTGATAAACGATATGCTGGTTAATGGTACAGTTTTCAGGGCCAATATTAATCGAGCCAGGTATATGTTTATGGATGATCCTGTGTCAGGGCCAGATAATTTTTTGTTTCTTGTCAACACCCTTGGGAAGAATGGAAAAGGTGCACTGAAAATATCTCATAATTCCAAAGAATCTGGAGATAACGCAGAGATTATGGGAATTATATTACTCAGCTCGATCGTGGGAGCAACTATACTTGCTATTTCTCTGTACATTTCTAGATATAGGCGTTAACCGGATGATAAAAATTTGAATGAGACAATTTGTGTGATTTTATATAATGAACAACTTTTATTAAAACAGGAAAGATCTAAAAATGGAACTGTCCCTGACTTCAGTATCAAGAATTTTCTGACTCTTTGTGAGTTAACAACTGATCGCTGAGTAGGCACCAGGTACCCGATATAGCATATTTTAATCTAGAAAGTATCTATATTATTATATCACTTGGCCCACCACCACCTCACACGTGCATCTTATTCCGGAGAGGTGACTTGACCACTTTCTGCCGAGACAATATTCTGAGTTTTCCTCAAACATCGTAAAATCGTAACATGATCTATTTCTGATCAAGAGGGAAGCACATTTTTGTCTGGTGGTAGCCTACTCAAAGTAACAATCTACCCGGTGCACCGTGTACCACGACTTTGGTAAAATGCATGGTTTTAATTGGCTACACACAGCCACGTGACCACCCTGCACGTGCTACACATCACGTGGGATGGCATCCCGGGATGGATTCTGAGGGTGAGTAGCGGGTGCCAGCACATGAGGAAGGGAAGTCAGGACCGGGCAGGAGGCAATGTTACACCCTAAGGGGGGCTAGCACATCCAGCGGTGCAGTGTGTAATCTCTACAGTGTACAAGGTGTATTGTGCACTATTATTATACTAGGACTAACAACACTACACGCGTTGTAGAGTCCTCAATATACTGTCCAGTCAGAGATGGAATGTTTGAACTCTCGGAGAGTTGAATCTTGATTCGGTAGTACAATTAAACATAGTTTTATGTAAGAAGGTGGCTGGACTGATTGACTTTTTCTTTGTCGGTGTGAAACTTAAATGTCAAACTGCAACTAAGCTCCGGAGTGATCTTCTATTATTTAACTCGTGATTGATGATAGATAGACTGCCATGCCTCGGGTCAGGCCACGATACTTAATTCTGATTATACCAATATGGAACATTGCAATGATTAAAACCTCTGAATGAAATGGCACCGAAGCCTCATCGGGGCAGTGAAACTTGAACATTTCACAGCTCCTGGCTAGCGTTACAGTTACATCCCCTTATTTCTAACGACCGCAGACATGTCATTACCTATTAATCGCCCTATTACACCTCCCATGTTGCCGAATCATAATCAAATTATCGTCCCAAAACACTGCTATTATTTGAAAGAGGCAGTGAATTCTTCCAGATTTACACCGAGAACTCTTGGTACTTTTTCTGTATTATAATCGTTAACACAGTGAAAATTAAAATCTTGAGTTCAAGTTGCTCTAAGGTTTAACACGATCAACCAAATGACGGGGCAACGTGACTAGTGTTTAAAATACTTGTCCACATGCCCCGGCAAGTTGAGTTCTGGACATGATCAGGGGTAGTGAGGGGGTAGTGAGGGGGTGAGGGGGTGGAGGGTGAGAGAGGGTAACAGATACATCCTGCCCAGCACCAGTACACCCAATTAAGAGGGGATCACGGGGACAGCCCCAGGTATATATTGTAATTATAATTATATTGTATGTCCGTGGTCACGTGTCTGGTCATGAGAAGGAAGGGGGGCCGTGGATTGGCAGACACTCGCCTGTGTGGACAGACCCATTACTGTCTAGATTTAATGCTGGCTGAGCGGGAGGAAGTGAGCAGTTGGAGTACAGTGTGTGCTTGTTGTTCCGCCAATCACCATTCTCCCTCGGGGTCATGTGACCTCTTCATGTACCCAGCGCCCTTTAACCCTTCCAAGCCTCAACCACGGAGCTCAAATTTCCTGTTCTTTCTAAAAAGTTATAAAACTTTGTGTATGTACAGGGTTTAAAGCAGAGACCTTGAGTGCGATGTGGACTTTCCTTGCAAGGGTGAGTCAACTGTACTTACAATAAGGATAGTCTGTGTGATAAGTTGTGAAGCCTTGTTATCGGTGAGATATTGGCATGAGCTGATAGTGAGCTGATAACTTAGTAGTTAGTATATTTTATACCGATTAGTCTTCTTATAATTAAAAGTAATATAATTATCAGTGTTTAAGGATAATATAGTTTGCTGAAAACGCAAAGCTGGGACCTACATGACAAATTGATAAACATACTGGCCACAGCTCTTTTTTTGTTCTTGAATTGGTCAAGGAGTGTCTCTTCTACCTAACCGCAATGTTCACTGTTTAATTTCTTAATGTACCGGACTTTTTTGGATGATTTCCGGTTTGACTCAATAACATCCTAGTAGTTGTGCCGCAACATTCCAGTCCTGTGCTAAACAAGCCGGTGATTTGAAGACTGCACTTTTTTGTACATTATAAACACTATTTGTGGTACAAAATTTGGCTGAGAAGTTTATATTTTGCAGTTATGGTGTAGCAACACGTGGAGGTTTTATATGGTGTTATGAGAAATAAAACAGGAAAGTAGTATGATGGAAAACATAAGTGTAATTTATAAACAAGAGACAAAACAAGAATTACCACCAACTAAATCGACATTGGTGCTTTAATAATTTGTCAAATAATTGTTACTGTCAACGTATAAATTACTCCAATTACTGTAAATATCATTATGTACCAAAATTGTTTGGGTCTGGGAAGAATTTGATTAATTTGAGAAACTTTATCTTGATTGAAATGGCATTTTGAATTTTCCCGTTAGCAAAAAAACAAAACACGGCTAAAATGATGCTAACAAATTCCAGTATTAGCCATAAGCAATGTTTACAAACAATATAAAAACATCCATAATCATGATACATGGTACAACTACAGTATAAAATAAAGAGGTACAGTCACATTACCAGATAGGGTAGGCGGCGACTATTTTTGGGCGCCCATGCTTTCAGCCATGACTTCTGACTAGGTCTATTTGGCGATTTTTTGGCTGATCTAAAAATATCACTCTCAAATAGTCGCCAGATCTCTATCATTTTCCCATATAACGGATCACAGGTTGGGTAAAATTTATCTATGGCAAATATTAAGGGGTAAGTAGCAAACAGTATAAACAATGTATATTATGAAATAATGTAAATACTATGAAATAATGTTTATAAAGTGAGTAAAGGCTCGCTGTAGATAAAGTAGGTAAATAGTTAGAGTTACACCTCGTTAATGTTGTACTCATGCGGATAGCACCACAGTTACTATTCAAATAGTCCAGTTCCGCATTATAAAATGAGATAACGGAAGAATTAACACCAAAGAAGTAGAAACATTTTATCGATTCCGATTTAATTGATTGCTATTGGCAATACTGGTCATTTTAATTAGTCCCGAATAGACCCAATATAATGTTTCAGTCTTTAACAAATACGGGAAATATCATCTTTGCATCATCACTTCATGATACCCAAATTCCATGTAAAAATTAAAAATTATTAATCATATATACGCAAATACAATATCAAATATTCATTATCAGGCTCTCTTTTGAGCGTGTTTGCAGATTGTCATCCCTGTCATAAACAAATAGAACTTAGGAAAGTAAACCAGTATCATTACAATCATTCAATCTAGCGAAGTCAGACAAAATCCTTAACTTTCCTAACTTCTTCAATTTGACGATGAAGATATCAGATGCATGGTGGAGATAACAGACACATAATAATCAACCTCAAGATTCACTTATTAGTCGAATACATCTAACACAAAATGCAAATAGGCTAGTGAAGGTAAGTTGGAAGAAACAGTTTGTAAGGTCTAAGAAATACCAAAATTGGATTTATGTCGAGGACTTAAAATTTGCCGAATGACACCATGTTCTCTCTTTCGAGCTGACCTGTATCCGCTGAAAATTCGAGTCAAAATTTGTCAGGTGCAACTCCGCAATTTAGGATACATTTAGAGTAGATTACAAAAGATCTTGCAATATTTCCAGCAATGTAAGAAATTAAACTGTGTGTGCAATATTGAGACATGTAAGCAAGTGTTTGGAAAGTAAACTAGCTTCTGATTTGTGTGTATCCAACTTACTGTCGTTGAAACCGCGTCGGTATTTTGATTTAGACCTTCCAAGGTATGATGTATCAAACATATTATGATGTGTCAAACATATGGTGTGTCAAAAGTGCCGAAATGATTAAAATAAGTAAATCACAAAAACAATCGCAATTATGGTAGAGCTATCAATGCTCGTTCTCAACATAGAGGATTTGAGAAAAATCTAGATCAAATTTGCTTAGTATTGATCAAAAATGCTACACAAATTAATTTACATCCTTCCTATTCCGATATATTAGTAGGTATTAACACTTAGTTATAGTGATGTATAATTATATAAATTTGTATAAATTTTAATTAAAGAAATCTTACTCTGAAAATACAAAAAATAAACCCTGACATAAATTTTAATGCTTCACATAATTTATAGCTAAAACTATAACGAAATATAGTACTATGCCGAATTTTTGAACTCAAGATATACAGGTGCAGTGGGCAATTAAAGTTGTACCACTAGCAGTGTCTAGCTTAGAAAATTTTCGATATATTGTGATGTATTGCAAATATATATCTGCCTGGATTGCTAACTACGCTTTAAAGATTTATACTTGATATGTACGATATATAATATATGATCAAATTAAATCAAATAGCCTAATCTTCATATAAATGATTGTCCCAATAATTATGGACACTAAGAAAGATACAAACCGAGAAGATTCTCAAAGTATCCAATGATTAGTTAAAACATTCTCAAACATTCCGAGCATATTTATTAAATACAAATGCTCGGGCTACACGGCAGTCGGTTCAAAACACACTCCATCTCGGTACTGGCAAATAGAATCATAGCCGAACACAAAGTTAAAAGCGACCACGTGTAGCCCGACGAAACTCAGAACTAAAATATTGTATAGTTCACCAACAATATAGTATTGGTAGAAAAATAAATCTTAAATTGAGGAATCCATTATTCGATTAAAAGTTCTTCAATTCTCAAGGAAGAGCAATTTCTTGCAAAAGACTCACAGTGCCATATTGTCAGTTGGTAAAAAGAACAAACTGTCTAAAAATCATGGTTTGAAGTGGAACTTCAAATGAGCTAAAAGACTCCAGAATGTGACCATCTATTTGGGAAGAACGGAGCCTGTTGCTGTTGTTGCTGGTTTGTAGTTGAAGGTGACTGGTAGTTTCCTCCTCCATGCTGGTTGTTGTTGTTGTTCTGGACGTTCATCGACTGCTGAATGGAATCGATAAACATTTTCAGGGCTTGGATATCTTTCCTGTTTTCAAAGTTGGGAGAGCTGTATCCACTGTCCAAGTCAACTCTTGTCGGGTCGTAAGAGTTGGAACTGAGTTGAGTTGTAGGCTCAGGAGATGTGTTGAAGCTTCCGAAACTGCTGTAGAGACTGGGATCAGGTTTTCCCCATGTCTTGTTGCTTCCAAAAGTGGGCTGCATAGAGGGAAAGGTATCCAATGCCTTAGGAGGCATCATAGGTTTCTTCAGGTCGACATCCACTAGGTGATCTGAGTCGTCAAACATTCCTCCGGTTCTCATGGCAATGTAGATCTGGAGCTTATTCTCTGCTTCGGCGACTTTCTCAGGAGCTCCACGGATCTCAAATATCGGTTCCTTGTCCCGAGCGGGGGTCATGATGTACGTGTCAGTTTCACTCTGGATTCTCTTGATGTTGTGTCCCTTTGGTCCAACCACAAGTCCCACGTACTTGAGCGGTACTCTGACATGACGGACGACAGCATTTGGTCCGAGTTGAGGAGTGATGGGACTGTTATTCTCTCTTCCCTGGCGGATCTTTGTAAAGTGCTCAGCAGCTTCTTCAATTCTTCTCTTAGCTCTCTCCACATCTTCAGGGTATCCGGAAATAGTGAACACTGAAAAATTCCTTACTAAACAAAGGTTTTCAAAAGATTGGTTTCATTTTTCTATTGTTCAACTTAATTAAGGTTTGTTTTTGTTTACAATATGATATTTTATAAAGTTAAAGAACGCCACGCAGTTCAGTTACTCGAGCACATTGTCGTTTGAAACACAGATACTAGAAATTCTAAAATCAATAGACAATAGTTCTACCCTAAGTGTGTATTAAAGATTGCACTAAATTAACTTTAGCACTTACCAGGTTCCTGATCTCTTGCAGGGGTTTGGATGTAAGTTTTGGTCGAGTACCTCAGCGACTTAATCTTGCAACCTGAAAATTGGTTGATGTTAATCCTTTCCCGACTTTTAGCTATTAGTAAAAGGGCAAGGAACAATAACACACCACCTGAATTGCACCTGAACAACTATGAAGTAAAATTAGGCACAAACAAACCTTGCTTTCCGACGATCTCGGCGACATGTTCGGAGGTGGGAACACGAACTTGAATAGACTCCGTATCTCGATTCGACTTGGCTGCCTCCGTCATGAATCCCGAAAATCCGTCCAGAGAGCTTCCAGAGTTATTCATGTTGGTCTCGTTGAGGCTCAATTTCCTCAAGTCAGGCAATTCGAAGTTCCTATCGAGAGATTTCTGAAAGTTGAGCAGCTCCTGAAGCGCGGACTGGTCGCTGAAGGTGTCAGCTTGTCCTTGACTCGAGCTTCCATACGGCATTGAGAACATGTTTTTAAACTATAAATAAAATATGATTATTAAACTCATGATATCACTTGGAAGAAGTATGAAAATTATCAAGATTGCAGCCTTCTTGATTGTGTATTATATTTGAAATCTTAGCAAAAAAAGGCGACGTGTTCAACAAAACCATCGTTACATACGCATATAAAGGTGATAAGATTTGCAAAGTCAAAATAATAAGAGAACACAAAGTGGCTTTAAAAAGTGTAACAGTTAACTTTATGCTTTTCTCGTCAAATGTGACGTGTGGTTTTCAGCAACAACAGTAAGAGCGAAAAGATTCCATAGAATTACAGCAACGCCCAGCGAGAATTCACATCAAATCAGACATAGTCGATTTTTAGAAGAATGCTTCGAAATATGTAGTCAGTTTTCATGAATATATGCATTATATGTACAATAGAAATAGTATAATTATAAAACAAGGAGGATAAAATCTTAAAAGCTCGTTCATATTTTTTTGATTAGATGTGTACACATTTAACATTTAAATTATTTAAGTTCGTAGAATTTTGAATTTTTTCGTATCTAAATAAATCTAAAATTCCAAATTGTCCATCTTACGAAGATTTCACCCAGTCGGTATTCGGTGGAATCATGATGGCTAATGCTAGAAAATACATTATTGAAACAAGACAAGTGAAATCGTCCGAGTAAATTTGTTATGTGAATTCGAAGGAATAATCTAGACCGTACAATAGATGACATTATGTAATTGGCAGAGCGGTCCCTTATGCCAACAAAACAGATTAAGAGATTGGCGATTACTTAAGCTGTTACAAGCCAAACAATAACAAATTAATCCCATGAATCGACAGAATTGTTCGGGAACAAGTATACCAAATCTCTTGATAACAATATAGTGTCCCAATATAGTTTGCGGAGGGCATTACGTACTGAAGACTTTAGTTGCCGCAGAATGCATGTGGGAAGATCAAAATTGGGCGCGCGTTACATTGTATGTTGTACATGTTTGATATTACGCATAGATCAGATACGCATGGACAAATGTATTCCATATTCACAATAAATAATTCAGAATTTAGTAATACAACGTCCGTTAAAGTCTACTTAACTTCTTTTAAATATTTAAATATTTGTTTAATAATTGTAAGTTAGCTTGTCGCTGTTAGCCAACATTTATTTTCAAAATATATTTTTTGTGGTTCCTTCCATTTTTGATTTTGCTAGTTTATATAAATTATGATCTACTAAAACACGCGCCGACTTGGACAGTCTTATTACTTGGAGCAAATATTTTACGTGTATCATTTGTTAACTTTAATTTCATTGCAAATTATAATTTTGACCATTGTTAATGATTTGGCCCGGCGCGCGCTACTTCGTAGCTCTTGCCATTACATTTCGAGAAGAAAGCGGCGCGCGCTACTTCGAAGAAATTTAGACGAGTAACATCCGTCAAATTATAATTGCATTGATCAAATAATAATTCGATATTTCTGATTTCATTGTTCGTTCATTGTTCATATGTCATACATTCATTAAAAATTTCGCCGCCGCGGTTAAACCACGCACGATCCATTTTCCTTACGATGTACTTGTAGCATTAATTTTTTTGAGTGAAAAGTGTTACAGGAAAAAGGTGCAACATATTTAAATATTAAATTTTTATTAATGAGTGGGATTCGTGCATGGTATGGTAAAAATTGACGATTTATTTGACCAATGTAACGCCGCGCATCAACAATAAATTGATCCAGAAAATTGCGGAAAATAACTTTGCGAAGGAGGAACTTCACTGTAATTAATTGACACAGGGCTTGTCCATTATTGTATATCACGTCGTGACTCCCACTGTCGTTTCACACCCCACGGCCACTGTAAAGTTTATATTAACGGGTGATACTCGTAAAATATCTGTTTCAACTCGGCGCGCGTCCTGGTAGGTTGTAAACCTACAAAGTTTATACGATACAGGGGAGCCGCGCACTCGTACTTGACGGATGTTACTCGTCTAAATTTCTTCGAAGTAGCGCGCGCTGCTTTCTTCTCGAAATGGCTTGACGGATGTTACTCGTCTAAATTTCTTCGAAGTAGCGCGCGCCGCTTTCTTTTCGAAATGTTATGGCACGAGCTACGAAGAAATGGCCCGACCGCGGCAAGTGCTAAGAAGTAGCGCGCGCCGGGCCAGACCATTAACTTAATGGTCAAACTCGTACGCGGCGGGTCATACAATGTAAAACAAGTCCATTGTTAATATATATAATTGATTAGTCCGGCGCGCGCTACTTCGTGTTGTGAAACAAGCACGTCACGCAGTACGCGTAGACACATGGCTTTGTGAACATTGAAGTAATTGCTTTCAAACTCTATCATCTATGAATCGATATCATTAATCGTTTACACTGTATTTTGAATCAATATATACATTTTTATAGTTGATAATATCACCAATTACAAATTACTTCGAATACTTTTGAAAGAAAATAACAATTAGCTCAATTTCATAACGCTACTGTCGTATTCCTCCGTAAAAAGTGCACAATTAATTGCTCTATCCAGAGCCCTTGCGCTTGCAGGCGTGCGCTTGCCTCCCGAAAGCACATGGTTAGGTGAACACAATTAATAAAGTTATAATACTATTTAATACGTACCAGATTAAATGTGTTTTCAATCGAGATGATATGAGAAATATAGCGCGCTTATTTAATTTTAAATTCTTAACTTTAAAATTGAAAATGATGATCGTACTTTGTATGAAATTATAATCAGGGCAATATGCTGCGTTTACTATACTCAAATAATGTTTAATTCTCCTATCTCCATCCAACCCTCAAATATATAAAAATAATTTCAAGTTTCAGAAATTTAAACTGAACGTGTGCCGCGCGTATTAATTACACTGACTGTAAAATTCAAGCGTTCCAGCACATCATAAAGCAATGAAAGGCATTAGTTTGGTTAAATCAAAAATTATGGCAGCTAAGGTCTAAACTTTTTATTAAGGGGATCATGTTCGGGAATCACATTTGGGAATCACGTTCGTGTACTGATTGCAAAGTTTGGCAAAGTTGGTTATAAGTTTAAAATGACAACTAGTGGCACTCAAATGCTGCAGATACAAAATATCCTTTAAAAGCTCGTTGTGTTGGTTTTTCAGACGTATCTATCTGAACTAAAGCTACACATAACGCCTCGTTTCCAGACAATGGATCTTTTGTAAGGACATCCTTCAGTACTGTTTCATTGAAAGTTCCTTGTTTCATTGAGTACAAACTAATGAAGTGAACATTAGCAATTAGTCAAATATCAATTTTATGAATTGCATTGGAGTGTACTGGAAAACGGATTGAATTATGAATTATGACTACTTGCATTAAGTTCTATAGTTCTGAGGTGTCTTGGTCACATGATTTGGATTTTTTCCTTTTCCAGACATTGAAAAAGAGCTATAGATGTTAGTGTTTAAGAATTAAGACTGCAATGATAATAAGCTTCATTACAACAATGTCTGTTGCATTCTAGAATCCGGAGTCAGCTTTGATGGTTTTATATTGACCATGGTGCAGGTGTTACAAACCATTATTGGGCAGTTAGCCACTGCAAACTTGGACACTTCATACTGTTTGCAGATGACACGAACATATTTGTTGCTGGAAAAACTGAACAAGAAGCCTATTTGAATGCTAATAAAGTACTTGAATCTGTAAATGACTATATGGAATCTAACTTGCTGCACATTAACCAAAGCAAATCGGTCTACATGTTATTCAGACCTGGCCGGTACTCGTCCTGTGCACGTGCTCGTGAATATGGCTCTGAGAACTCACTCACGTTATCAGGCAACACGCTTACACGAGTAGATAAAGTGAGATTCCTTGGTGTTATCATAGACCATGAACTATCCTGGGAACCCCAACTAGATAACATAAAAAGTAAACTAACTACAAGTATAGCTATAATTAAACGTATTATGAAGTTTATTCCAGAAACAGAGTACCATAAGCTGTATGACTCCTTATTCAAGTCTCATATGAGCTACTGTATCAGTAGCTGGGGTGGTGTCACACCTTATAGACTATCTAAACTGTTCTCCATCCAAAAAAGATGTGTACGCCTTCTATTTGGAAGCAAACCAAGCTTTGACCGGGCAGAGTATTATGAAACATGTGCACGTGCAAGACCATACAGTGAACACATCGCAAAAAGGAGCTTTGCTTTGGAAAACACTAAGCCAATATTCAATACCGAGAAAATCATGTCAATCCACAACCTGTACACCCAACATATATCCACTGAACTGTTTAAAATCTTGAAACTGCATCAACCTATCTCTCTGACAAGTTTATTCCAAACAAGTTCCAGAGCATGTAGCCAAACTATGCGGGTCCCCCGACACAAACTTGAAATTTCTAAACACAATTTTGTCTTCAAAGGTACGACTATATGGAACAGTTTGGTTGATAAAATATTCGACAAATGCACTCCTAATGAAAACAATGTCATGGTCCCTGGCTCTAGTAAATTTTCCGACCTTTCCTCCCCCATCTCAATTATCAAGAGCCGTATCAAAAAGCTCTTACTTGAAACCCAGCAATTGACAACACCTGGGCGTGAAATTGAGTGGCTCCCCCTAAATAGCTGGGGCATTGAACCAGCTTAGTCAATCAGCATCCCATCCCTTGCATACAACTAATTACAAAAGCGCTAATTATACCTGTTTCAAAAGCATCCTGTCTGGAAGTTCCCTGACTGCCGTGTGAATCTTTGGATCTATTTTTGGATCTATTTTTATATTGATATGATTTTTATATACCTATATAAAAAAAAAAAAAAAAAAAAAAAAAATATACCTACCTATATATTCCTCGCATAATCTCCATGTCCGCCTGAACAAACCTGGCACCATCAAATCTTACTCTAGAAACCCCAGAACTCATCAAGCCTAGTCTGAATTCAAAACTAGTTGACCAGCTACGTACAGTTTCCTGGACAGCTGGAACCTTTTGGGCCATGCACAAGCCAATAGCATGTATGGTCCTGCAGTGGGGTCTCCTTGTCCTTGGATCTGTGTTTTGATCCGTCTTTTCTTAAAATTTTCCATTTGTGTCACTTAGAATCACCTTTTAAAATGTTAATCGACACCACTGGTCCTAGTTAAATTTAGCCATGGCACGACTACTCGAACGTAACAGTTAAATAGGTGTGACATACTATTATATTCTTATAATTATATCATATGAATTGATTGCACTGCTAATAAATAAAATACTTTGTTTTACTAAAAATACTTTGTTTTACTGCAAATCACAGTAAATTGCCTGCTCACTTCTGGGTATAGCATCCTTGGTGGATGCTGGGGTGGACATGTTAGTGGAAAAGTGATGGTGGGGAACAATTTTTTGTAGATGTTGAAAGTGCAAACATTCTTGTTTGCCTTCCAAGATCTAAGCAAAGTGGCCAGTGGGCAAGACTTTTTCTTTGGTGCTCATAGAGATGTTTAATCTTATTAAGCAAATGTGGATTGTGTACCACATTTTAGGCTGAAATTATTTCAGCTACAGCAACAGATCCAACCATAGGTACTGTCCGAAAGTACTACTTTGGCAGGCTTGGTGTGGTTTGATTGTTCAACTTACTCGGCACATTTCTTGTGAGTAAATTTTCGTTACATCTTCGTTCAGATGCACAGCTTTCAAATAACGAATAAATAAATTGTGTGCTGCATCTTTCCTAAGTTCTTTCGAGATTTTTGGGGTGTATTTCAATGCCCCAATACCCTAAGGTACTTGAAACCTTCTATTTGTCAAAAGTAGCATGTTCTCAGCTCAATACAATTTATAATAATCTGGACTTCTTAATTTTACTTACCCATGGCCCTTTGGCTGAAAGGGACTTTCAAATCTAAATTTTTTTAATGAGTTTTAAAATGTATGCCCCTTGCCCCAGCCCAAATTTACTGTAAATCGGCCAGGGTTTGCAGAATATTATGTTTCCCTTACTTTTACTTTTCATTCTTGTCTAGTTTTAGTTATTAAAATTGTTCAGTGTAAGTTTAGTTTAGTTCAGTGTTAAATTTGTGGTTAATTGGTAAATATGGTCATTTGATCAATAATTGTTTACTCTTTTAGGTTAATCATGGGGACCTCTTTTGAGTCGAGTAGTGCTGTTTTCATTCTCCCAGAGAACTCATCTAGATCAGAGGGACAGATACTAAAATTGAAGCACCCTAAAGATAATCAAACCTGTCTTGCATACCTAAGTTTGGAATCTAAATCGCTGAATGAACTATTATATCTAAAAGAAAAGCATGTTTCATGGTTTGTTGGTGATCATGTTCTTGGAGATACTAAGCTAAGTATAGGGACCCCACTTGATCCAACATTTATGATTATTCCTTACCTCCTCAAAAACGTGGACAAATATTCTCCATTGGGTCAAATTCTTGTTGATGAAAAATATCCATCTGCAATACATTTAGAAGATCTTTTGTCAGAATCCGACCTCTCACTCGTTGCAGACATTAAACCATCACTAGATAAAATCATCAAATTCAACAAAGAAAAAACATTGAACTGGCTATCTGGCAAGGTAAGTAAAGTTGCTTCAGCTATGAAGAAATGTGGTATCTCTCCTGGATTTAACTCAACTCTATCAGACGAAGAATACACAAGGTATGCTTGTGGAATTGTTTCAGATTATATAAATTCGTCTTTGTCAGTAGATTTACAGGACAGGCTCGGGATCCAGCTGAGTGTTGATAACAGTGAGTGTGAAAAACCCGCCAAGAAACCAAAACTGAGCAGTACAAATGATCATGATGCTTGTAAGCCTGCTAAAAATTCAGTTCCAAAAGGAAAAGAAAAGGCTCCAAAACGTAAAGCCCAAAAACAGTTAGCTCCTGTCAATACCAAAGGAATGAAATCCATGTCTTCATTTTTCAAAAAAGTGGAAACAAAATGATGCAGCGATTCTGAACTATGATATAAATTATGATCTGATAAAGTATTGTGTAACGTGTTTCAATTCAGTTCTTTTTTTAAGTGACTGAAATAACTAATTTAACTTTATGCAAAGTTAATTTCAATATATAAATTGACATTTTTAATATTTTTATTAGATGCAAATAGCATTTTTTATTTGATATGATATGTTTCTGAATATTTTAATATTGTGAAAAAATATTAGATATTTTATATTGTGTTTGTTCAGAGATCATTTACATATTACGTAAGCCACATTTTAAAGCTTCCTTTCCTCTCCACAAGCCTTTAAGTAATATGTAAATGATCCCTAATGAAATATGTATTCAGGTTTATCTCACAATTTATTAAACTGCAGCTGTTCTCAATATAAACAAAATCATTCATATTTGTATCGTTCAATTGCCTCGAAAAGCTTTTGTATGTAATGTTGTTGATACTTGAGACAGTGAAAGTTCTCATCTAGTGTTAAATTACTTCACAGTCTACATCCAGACCTTGTGTTCCGTTGTGCTCTGTAGTGTGTATGTTTGACATGAACTCAACAATAAACATGTGGTCATGAATATGCTAGTCATTAATAATAAATTATCATTTTAGGCCAGAAAGGTTCACGGAGTGCAGTCATGACATCGGCTTTTGGTAAGTCAACTTATATTCTCTCAATAAACCTCGTTGTTGTTGTTAGTTTTAATTTGGCTGGCATTAAGAGTGCACGTCTTGTTCAATTCCAGCTGGTGAGTTTGTAGCTTCATCCTAACAATTGCTTCTCTTACAGATGACGACGACTTCAGGGGTAACTTCATCAATGTCAACGAATTTGAAGATGATGACGATGATGTGATGGTTAGTGATTTCTCAAGTTTTCTTTCTTGTAGTCAGATTAACAAGGACCACACTTACCTTAATCTAACACATATGGAGAGGCTGTAAATATATGACAGTAAATATAGTACATTATATGACATATAATGCTTTTGGACACGAAGGGAAACACACAACGTAAGGCTTGAAAAAGTTGAAATCTTCGTAAAACTACATCATAAGAGCCTGTAAAAACATTTAACTTTAAGATAAGCACTCTATCAAGTTAAATTCATATATAATCATCATAGTTTATTAACTCAAACGTAAAAATTTTAACGAAGGCAAAATTTAATCAGTCAAAATTCGTTATATGACATATGTAGCACCAAGTTTCAAGCAAACTCAAAACACTTTCCAATGTGCTTTGACAAAATATTGGCCACACGTAACTGCTTAACTGAAAATAAACATGCTCATCTGTACACAGGATAACTGGGAAGATGTTCTTGACGAAGAAGAAGAGGCAGAGAAGAAAAAGAAAGAGAAAGAAGCTGAGGAAGAAAGAAGTGAGTTGTGTGACTACATATCATCAATCATCATATTGAAGTGACACTGCCTTTTCAGTTTTTTACTACATAGATCAACAGATCAATGGTAATTTTATCTCGAGCTATAACACATTATTGTTCCCAGAGAAAAAGGAACGTGATGAGAAGGTAGCTAAGAGGGCGGCTGAGAAAGCAAAACAGGAGGAGATCCAAAGATTAATGAACGCAAAACCTTTGTCTAAAGAAGAGCAGGAAAAGTAAACGCTTAGATATTTTAGAATTTGTAAAGCACACACATTTTCTCAACCATCATATTTGAGTTTTTTGTGTAAAAGTGAAACAAATTCTACATATTATTATGGAGCCAAAGTGTGGACTGGCTACACCTGGTTAAAACACTGCCATACTATGTAAGATCTTTCTGGAACAATGTAGTGCCCAAAACAGTATCATCAGTCTTGGGACAACCTAACTTCCAGGTAGGCTGATTACCATCTATAGAAGGATAGCAGAAGCTAAGAGTCCCAGAATATTGTACATTAGTGTGAATGTGAAATTGGCTGAAATAGTGAATAAAACACGCACGTGTACCGTCTAGTGTGTAAAATCTAGCACCACTTCCAAATATAATTTCCTATGAATCTATGAACATGGTTTCTTTTATTGAGCAATGTTGATGCTAAACCCACCGACTAAATTCAGTCGCTATACCGCCTGTACAATAACCTCTAGTAATAAGTAGATCATATGCATGTCTGTGTCAACGTGGTCACTGGTCCCTGTAAAGGGTTTGTGTAGTTCACTTCTCCCTGGTCCCTGTAAAGGGTTTGTGTAGTTCACTTCTCCCTGGTCCCTGTAAAGGGTTTGTGTAGTTGACTTCTCCCTGGTCACTGTAAAGGGTTTGTGTAGTTGACTTCTCCCTGGTCACTGTGAAGGGTTTGTGTAGTTGACTTCTCCCTGGTCCCTGTAAAGGGTTTGTGTAGTTCACTTCTCCCTGGTCCCTGTAAAGGGTTTGTGTAGTTCACTTCTCCCTGGTCCCTGTAAAGGGTTTGTGTAGTTGACTTCTCCCTGGTTCCTGTAAATGGTTTGTGTAGTTGACCTCTCCCTGGTCCCTGTAAAGGGTTTGTGTAGTTCACTTCTCCCTGGTCCCTGTAAAGGGTTTGTGTAGTTCACTTCTCCCTGGTCCCTGTAAAGGGTTTGTGTAGTTGACTTCTCCCTGGTCCCTGTAAAGGGTTTGTGTAGTTGACTTCTCCCTGGTCCCTGTAAAGGGTTTGTGTAGTTCACTTCTCCCTGGTCCCTGTAAAGGGTTTGTGTAGTTGACTTCTCCCTGGTCCCTGTAAAGGGTTTGTGTAGTTGACTTCTCCCTGGCCACTGTAAAGGGTTTGTGTAGTTCACTTCTCCCTGGCCACTGTAAAGGGTTTGTGTAGTTCACTTCTCCCTGGTCCCTGTAAAGGGTTTGTGTAGTTGACTTCTCCCTGGTCCCTGTAAAGGGTTTGTGTAGTTCACTTCTCCCTGGTCCCTGTAAAGGGTTTGTGTAGTTCACTTCTCCCTGGTCCCTGTAAAGGGTTTGTGTAGTTCACTTCTCCCTGGTCCCTGTAAAGGGTTTGTGTAGTTGACTTCTCCCTGGTCCCTGTAAAGGGTTTGTGTAGTTGACTTCTCCCTGGTCCCTGTAATGGGTTTGTGTAGTTCACTTCTCCCTGGTCCCTGTAAAGGGTTTGTGTAGTTCACTTCTCCCTGGCCACTGTAAAGGGTTTGTGTAGTTCACTTCTCCCTGGTCCCTGTAAAGGGTTTGTGTAGTTCACTTCTCCCTGGTCCCTGTAATGGGTTTGTGTAGTTCACTTCTCCCTGGTCCCTGTAAAGGGTTTGTGTAGTTCACTTCTCCCTGGTCACTGCAGCCCAAGGCCAAGGTTGGATCACACGGAACCTGTGAACCTACAAATCTTTAGAAATATAATGTTAAGAACGTTTAGCTTCCTTAACTGTGTCTCATCCTTCAGCTTTAAAAAAAAGCCAGCTACTGAGATAAGTATAATAATCACTTATCATAGACAACTGAAATAAAATAGTACTCGAATACATTGAATTACTAGTAATTGACGAGTTGGCTGGATCGGATTTGATGTTCGAAATGTAATTGTAGATTTGGATCTGTATTTGATCGAAATAATTAAGTTCCAACTATTTAAATCCCCAATGAAAACCACTAATAAATTCTGCTGTCTCCCATTTGCTCTGTTAAATAACCATTTAACATTTCAGAGCTCAATTGAAAGCAGCGGAAGATGCCGCAAACGACTTATTTGGATTTGAAAACGATAGACCGTCAGAATCTATGGTAGCATCATTAGTTACGTCAACTGCAGGCATATCTCTCAATAATCCCGACTCCGTTGATACCTACGTGCCTGTCGATCCAGAAGATTTTGCCGAACTTTCCAGAAGAATCGCTAAAAAGTTAAAGAATTATCAGGTGAATCTCAAATCTTAGACTACATGAATCTGAGTTACCCTTTTTCTTTCATATCTTATCTCCATGATTCACAAAATCTCAGATCTTCTTGCATCTTTTATCTTTCGATTCTGACTAACCTTGTTTGTTTTCAGACTGACGATGGTTATATCAGCTTTATCAGAGATTTAGTTCCAGATCTCTGTTCAGAAAGTGAGTCTGTCATTATAATCTACTTATATCTTTATATCTAACTTTATTACTCAGCGAGACTATCATACTACTGGATTGTCACCAATTTGACCTAGTAATGATCTAATGAACACCAACATGATTTTATATATAATTTGAATATCTAGACTCTAGAGGTTTCAATTTTTGTAGAAAGTTGAGGTGTATTAAGAGCCGTTGGTCCGGTCGAGTGAGCTCAAAAGGGGTCTTGGGGTCAAATCTCGTTTACTTTAGAAAAAAAGTTTATTTCAGAGAATTTTCGGGAATTTTAGTGTAGTATCTTAGAAATCACTTTAAGGGATGTATCTCCAAGGTCTTTCATAACTGTCTATTCTCTTGCAATTTGAGATCACCAACGTCCAAACCATGACGTAATAGTATTGCTCAACAGAAATATGCTTTCTTATTACTAGTAAGATTTACGTGTAGAAAGAAATTTTTTGTCAATGTTGGCATTTGTAATGCGCGGCGTCATTGATCCGATTCAATCTAGATTAGAAATATTCACTGTTCAGGTTGGTATCACGATTCACGTGGGCGTTGTCCTATGCGATATTGTGTTGGAATACCAGTGAGCAACACTTATTTTACCATCAAACGTCAATCCGAACTTTTTTCAGTGACGAGCGATGATATTAAAAAGATTTCGAATCCTCTAGTTACCCTTACACACGATAAATCGCGGCAGGAAAAAGAAGTGAGTATTTTGCGTTTTTATTTCCGAAATACATTCTTAAGATACTATCTATCCAAGGTATTTGTCACTCAGACCATGTACTACACGTTTTTCTCGACGTGAAATATCGAATCTACATATGGAACTATAAGTATAAACCATGTACTTGACTTCACTTTATGTCACCCTCAGGCTAAAAAGTTGGCACAGCAAGCTTCTTCTAAGAAGACCAGTCTTAAAGTACAGAAAAAGCAAACTGACACACGTTCAGACTTTTTGTTGAACGAATACAAGGATATGGGTAACTACGATGACTTTGATGACCTGGACGATTTCATGTGACGAGCTTTAGATAATTTTAGGGATCTTTTGTAGAATGAAATTATGTGATTTTCATTTGGGGTTAAACCTGGGTTAAATTGGAATCGAACCGTGATTTGTAATAGCAACTTGTTACATGATTTACGGGTAATAACAGATGTCGTCCTTAAGCGTGTCCAATCCTAAAACAGCGAAGACCTCTGAAACTTTTTAGTACTTTCAATACTTTTAACACCTCTGTGGACTGTGTTACTTCCGACAAGGTGGCCTCGGTGAACATTACTACAGTGTTGAGTTGGTGAATGCAATTTGGTTTCTTCTTCAATGTATCATTGATAATTTGGTTTTTGACTATTTGAATCTTATTTTTTAAAGTTTTCAGGTTCAAAATGTTAAACGAGATTGATCTGTGAAAACTATCTTAAAGTTTCTACTATATTTGCTTGTCCTTATTTTAACTTATAAACTTGCCCAATTTTGGTTGTAGACGAAAGAAATAATAGGCTGTTTTGGTTTCGAAACAAATTGATCTCCATTGATATTGTTATCTTACAACATGATTATGATAACAAGCATATAAAATCGCTACAAACAATCAAGCTACAAACATAAAAAGCAATGTTGGAGTAATAGGTTGGGAGTGAGGCCTTTCTAAAGTCTGGATATACCAGATATCAGCCGAAAGTTGTCCGGCCTTGGTCGTGAAAATAAGTTAGGACCGGAAAAAAGGCTGCTCTCCGGAACTTAAGCCCGTTAATATCAGATAAATTGTATTCGCCGAATCGATACATATTAGTCAATAAATTAAATGTGTAAGAATAAAAAATACTGCAATAATAATTAATAAACATCTCGCGATGGCCACGAGTTGCCAAGTTCTGATTATAATTTCTAATCCTAAAATTGTAAATTTATTACATCACAAACAAATATCAGCCAGGCAGGTGACTGCAAAACATCGATTCATTAACCAGAAAACTGCATCCTCACTTTATTCGTGACATTTCCAATCTCGAAAGTAAATATAAATTTCAATACAGTATTAAGAAGGAGTTTATAATTTCCATCTTATATGAGCCAATAATACGCAGCTGAGTGCCAAAATTATCCGTCGAATCGATACCTTACATGGCTCTAATAATAACAATACCTGACCCTGAATACCTGCTCGTGTTCAGGGGTGATAATAACAACAGAGCCTGAGAGATCTCAAAACTGGACAGTCAAATAAATGCGATCACTACACTTACTGACTGTCCACAGTTCATTCGCTCCTATCAAATAAATGCGATCACTACACTTACTGACTGTCCACAGTTCATTCGTTCTTATCAAATAAATGCAATCACTGCACTATCATTGTCCACTGTTTCATTCGTTCCTATATAAATAGTCAAAGTCTACACCTAGCCCATATCAAAAATAAAGAGCAAATAGTAATGCTATAAAACATTGCTGGTAAGTAGTCCACTGAACATGCTACTAGGGTCTTGAGAAAGCTTGGCTGGAGTGTCAAACTCAGCCTTTTTACCCTGATCCATTACCAGAATAAGATCTGAATCTGCTATGGAGCTGATACGATGTGCTATTACTAACATCGTCCTCCCAACAAACTCTGATCGCAGCACCTGAAATAGAAAGATGAAATTTAGGTGGCTGATAAAAAATAATTAAAAGACCACGAATACAACATACCCAACGTGAGATCAAATTTTTAAAATTCTGAGATATTTTGTCAGCAAACCTTCTGTATTTTCTCGTCTGTCTCCATGTCGATGCTAGCAGTAGCTTCGTCCATGATGATTATTTTGCTGTTCCTTAGGAAAGCTCGAGCTAAGCACAGTAACTGTTTCTGTCCGACACTGAAGTTATCACCTGAAATGAAATGCTTAAATTTGGTTGGCAGAGAAAATCGAGAAGATTTTGGTTTCTCGAGTGGTTTTCTGATATCTTACAGTTTGAGACTTGAGTACCGTTCACTAAAACTTTCGTACATTTTCGTGTTTTGAAATCACACAAATAAACTTCATCTCACCTGATCCTTCGATTAGACTGTCAAGTCCATTATCCATATCTTCAACAGGTTGCTTCATGTTTACCCTCTCCAGCGCTCCCCATACCTCGTCATCATTGACGGTCTCTGACGGGTCCAGGTTGTAGCTGAAGTGTACCGTATTATTTAGTCAGGTATTTTAATTTTGATCATAATTTTTATGATCTGATTATTTGAAAGTAAATTTATGGAATTGATCGGGAAAGAAAAATCACGTGATTTGTTCATCGTTTAAGCTAGTTTTGTTCTGTAAAACTAAAACGATATTGTATCAGACTCACCGTAAAGTTCCAGCAAATAATAAGGGGTCTTGGGGTATTATAGTTAGGGTTTCTCGTAATCTCTTCAAGGTTAAGTCCTTTATGTCCACACCGTCAATTACAATCGAGCCGCCCTGAAGGAAGTGACATGTTACAAAAATCTGGAACCTAGGTAGATCGGTGATGGGTTAATCCATGAACGACAGAGGATTCCATGACTATATGCTATGGCATGAACGAACTATTGCATATGGGCAACAGATCAATCAAATGAACGAACGTCGCGTATATATATAACGCATATATTATATATACGGTGCGGCCGCGCGGTACGCACGCGCGTACGTCGCGTACGTCGCGTGTGTGCTACGCGGGAACATCTTTAATCAAAGGTACGCGCGTTACAACTACATCTAAAGCATATTGTGACCAAATGTGGCAACATACTTGGAACCGCGCTCGGATTCCATAACACAGCTCTCAGTGGACAAATCTTACCTTGCAAGTAAGTAATCGGAAGAGAGCGATTGTTAGAGAGGATTTCCCACTGCCAGTTCTACCACAAATACCAACACGCTTGCCGGCGGGTATCTGAAATAACGTGTTTGTTTTAACACAATTGAAGTTGGTCCATGAATTTGCGCAGGAAAGTGAAATAAAGCCAATCGAAATTATCATCAAGACTATATCAGTGGCCAAATTTAACTGACAACACTACAGTTATTGGCATTCATGTAAAATTTGAATGTAAAATAACAATAACAGCTTTTAAATGCAGTACTTCCATCGCAATTAAAGTTAAACAAGGAACAACAACCACCACTAACCGTTACAGTAACATCTTGCAGTACACTATCCAGCTCCTTGTCATATGCCCCGTAATAATTAACAAACTTTATCTCTCCTTTAGAAGGCCAGGAGGCATCAGGGTCCGATTTACCATCGTCCTCTTCTATTGGTACTATTGTTGCGTAGTTGTCTATCCGCTCTACTGCGTTCATATACAACTCCATCATGCTGTGTGGGATATAACAAGTTATTTAAAATATGTTAGGTATTTTCTAGCAATCCTTTATAAAATGAGTACACCTTCGTTTCAAGATGTAACAGCTGTTATCCAGAGATATCAGAAACAAACCAGCTTATAATATTCCCCAAGTAAGCACAAAAAGCAATGAAAATGACCTGTACATACCTGAGATTCCGCAACATCCAGTTGAGTTCCCCAGGAAGAGTAAGAGCGAAGGTGAGCGCTAATCCTGCATCTGAGGGCGAGATGAGGAAGCCGTCACCGCTGGTTTGACCGCACAGTGTAACACACACCAGGCCCGATAATGTTGTTATCATTACACCTGAGTTCAGGATTACATATATTTTATATTGAAATAAAAGTCAGTTGGTTATTAACCATCCAATCTGCAAGGGTCGCGGTTTAAAATACTATTTTCTGATTAAAGTACTCAAAGATTCATATTGCTAATATCCACGTCAAAAAAAGGCAACACTGCATTTAGCTGGAATTACTGGTAAGAGCGCCTACCTATAAGATCTAGTCTGAATCCGACCCAGTTGGCGGCCATGTTGACCAGCATGAAGGTGTTAGTGCTACTATCAATGTACTTCTCCATTCGGGACTGAAAACTGGGAATCCTGCAGGGAGAAGAGGGCGTTAGTTCTGGAAGAAAAAATAAAGGATGAACTGTGGTTATAATCATCCAGTAAGATTTACATCAACAAAAAGCTAGATGTCAGTTAGCACGCGAAACATGAACTTAACCGAAACAGTAGTTCTACATACTTAAGATAAGCCCTGATAGTAGATAACCCTCCTAGAGATTCGGAGAATAGGGCCATTACGGGAGATTTGCAGATACTATCCAGTCTCTGTATCTCCCGGGAGGTGGTGATGTAGATCTTCTGGACTACGTAGTACATCAACGCCAGCGGGATCACAGCTGGGATAGTATAGTTTAGTAATAATGTATAGTGTATAGTTCACTATGTATAGTAATGTATGGTATAGTATGTACTATGTAATATGTTTACAGTATACTATATTGTAGATGCAGCGGGATCACATATTGGATGTTAGCAGTATTTAAAGGAATGGAAGTTGGGTGCACAAAAAAAAACATATCGCTGTTGTAAGAGGATGTCATGAAAATTCGAAATTTCTTTATGCGATTGAAATGAAATAAACTAGTTTTTGAAACTGAATGTGTGCCTCTCACCGATGCCGAAGTAGTAACTGGCAATTATCTGCATAACCAGTACACATAGGACACGAGTAGTAAGGCTATAGGCACTGTTGACATTTTCCAGTAGTGTTGTGTCTACACTGGTTACGTCGTTGCTGAACCTGTGAACAAGGTTAACGTGTTAACCATTCTTTTGACAATTATTTCTAATTATTTTCATAAAGAAATGTAATTGCCTATTCATAGCATTCAAGGCAAATAAAAAAATTCTCCTTTTAATTACCAAGAATACTAGTTTTACACGGTGGTTACTTTTTGAACTCCTTGAATACGGCCACAGAACAGAAAAACATGGTTACAGAAAATGAAGAAAATGATAAACAAACCAACCTGCTAATAATTCGACCAAGAGGAGTAACATCAAAGAAGCGAGGTGTGGCTTTCATTATCCGGAGCAGCATGTTCACAAAGAGTGTCTGACTGGCTCTCATTGCGTCAAATACCATTAGGATCGTACCAATGAACACCAGAACACTGGTAAAGAGTGCCAGTCCTATGTAAGTTACTGAGGGGTGGGAGGTGGTTACTAGGTGGTTACTAAGTGGTTACTAAGTGGTTACTAAACTTGGTTACTATGTAGTTACTAAGTGGTTACTAGGTGGTTACTAGGTGGTTACTAGGTGGTTACTATGTGGTTACTAGGTGGTAACTAAGTGGTTATTAAGTGGTTACTATGTGGTTACTAGGGTGGGATGTGGTTATTCTGAATGTCGGCTGATATTTTATAATCTTCTTTAGTTGCCATCTCATTGACTGTCAACACTGCTTATCAATAACAGTAATAATATTACAATAAACTCTGCATGGTGCAAGGAACTATGAACAACTCACAGATATAGTAAGTATCACTATCTACCCAGCCTGCACTTGTGATGCGTTTCTCTGTCCACACTGTTATCCAATAATCCACTATTATACGGCCAATTTGCGATACAAGTAGAATTAACAGTGTTAAGATCAGCGTTACTCCTGGGAAGATTTAAAGCATTTTATCAGATATAATTATAATTAGAAACACAAACTTTTCAAAAAAGAGTGCTCACTTGCACTGCTCATGAGTGGTGTTTTAAGTATGAAGTAATAGCATGAATTTTATCAGAATAATCAGGGAATTTAGCGACAAAACTTCAAATATTCCAAGAAGTTGAACTGGTTGATACCTGCAGCTGATGCCCAGATCATATAAACTCTGATGCTAACTGAGCCCTTCTCCCTGTCCTCCTTTGTCATTAGACCACCCTTTTCTTTCTTTTTCAAAGCATCAGCTTGGGACTCCTGCCGCTTTATCTACGGAGAAAATGATCATGAGCTTTGTCCAGATTTAAAGTTGAAAAAACGTTTTCAGATACAATTGTAATAATGTACACATTCTTTACATCACGCACTGAGTTCCAAAAATTAAATTAGACATACAGGAAAAAGCTTTACATTTATAAGACTAGCTGAATGCAGAGTAACGTTCTAACGTCGCATGCAGAGTACAAACGTAGAAATACATTGAATGATTATGATTATAAATGATTATAACTGAAAAATTGTATTATTATATTCATATCACCACACTTATTCATATCACCACCCTTATATGATATACCGTAAAATCTGTACATCAGCATTCAGTAGGCGACGGTAAAGAAATATATATTTATTACGTGTTAATCCATCCTGCAATCTGCGTCGGCTCCGTCAAGGTGATTTGCTGAACTTGTGAATGATTATGATATAACAGCTAGTATAGTATTTTCTTCTTTTTTAAACAGGAGCTGGGTCAGCGCACATTGCCTGCCCCTAGGCTGGACACGTGGTAAGAGAGTAATAAAGGAAATAGTACAGACAAATCCGTCTGAAAAAATCGATCTGCCGACACAAGAAGCTTTTTAAGGATTTTTGACGTTTTTGAGTCCCATTAGGTGTTAAATTATAACGTTCTACCTTCGATACGGTAGTGCTCGAACTTTTTGCTTTGACTAAAGATTTAAATAGTACAACGATGCGCCAAAAACTGATTTAAACTGTTCGAGTTGGATAATCTATGTCTTAGGCTGATAATCGTCGAGACCATTAAATAATTATATATTATTATAGTTTATCCGCAGTGCGCAGCTGGTAAATTTTATTTTGAAATTGACTGTTTTATGAATGAAAATAATGCTTTTTAGTAAAAATCGAAAATATTAACAGTCCGGTTGCGATCATTCATCTATTACTTTATTATAGACAAAATCTGCCATTGTTAAGCAGGTCATAGTCCGACATTACTGTGCAGACGTTTGTGTTTGTGGATTACTTGTGGAATATAGTATCTAAAATAATAGCTTGACGATTAGAAAATGAGTCATCCTGCATCTGCGGCAGGGACAAAAGGATTTCGCGGCGATTTTGGCCAAAAATCGCGATACCGCGAATTACATTTCGCGGTATATTAAACTATACATAAAATTTGTCGCAAATAATGGGAAAAATCGCGATTCCGTACATGCCGCGATTTCCTTTTGTCCCTGATCTGCGGCAATGTCTTGGATCGGCACAGTCAGAATTGAGTACAAGGTTTTTTGTTTGTTGTTTAGTACTGAAAAGTGGTAAAAAGTGGCCTTAAGACATGTGGAAAAGTTTGGAAAAATTGGTCAGCCGTAAAGGGCACCTAATGGGACTCAAAAACGTCAAAAATCCTTAGAAAGCTTCTTGTGTCGGCAGATCGATTTTTTCAGACGGATTTGTCTGTACTAAAAACGGTCATAAAAATAATAAGGATGCATATTTTAGGTGGAAACTGAGCCTTAGTTATAACATAGATGAATCTTCTTTATTTACTGAAGATGGAATTATAACTGGGCAATAATTTCACATTAGCCAGTCTAGCGAAGTCATGAGTCCAGCCCCTCAATAAATGGCTTTAAATTCACAAAGCCCAGAAATCCCAATACTATTTCCGCTGTGCTCTCCCTCGCTGAAAACCGTGGTTTGGTGACGACGCCATCAATTTTGAATCAATGCTAGTTCTCTTAAATTGGTAAATGAAGATGTACTCTAGTAGCAGGGAGATGTTGAGTGAGTGCGACTCGTGATATCGGGGTCTCATATCCAACCGCCGATACCAGAGTCAGATCTCATTCCACAGCTTACAATCAGATCACATGGTCTCGTATCTGACATGGAAAATGTTTGGTACTAGAAAAATAAGTTTTGAAAAAATCTCGAAAGAGCCCACAAATAAGGATTAATTTTAATTTTCCGGAAATTTCCGGCAGCCTCCAGTCAGCATGCTCTCAGTGAACAGTGAATTCAGGGTTGCTTGTAATCTGTCAGACCCGTTTGCGTGCGACTTTTGTAAAACAAAGGAGGTACTCAGACCATTGACAAAACAATGCTTTATTAATTATAAGCATTGCAAGCAGAGGGTTTCTGCTTTATTGTGACAAGCAAACCCTTTGCTAACTTCCCATATACCAAAGATTTAAACACATAAGGCCATTAGAAAAATTATGCACATTAACCTCGGTTATGTTGAGGCCACGACCTTGAGACCTTGTGAGAGCTGGGTATTTGGTTTTATTTCTAGGACAATCTTTACATTTGTGCTACACAAATGGTGTAGTGAATTCTTGGATTATACGTTTTGATTTTTATTCCAACTCGTTTCTAGTTCTACTCATACAACGTAGATCAACCAGTGCCTTCTGCTCGCACAGCATATCAACCAATGACTCAATGACTGCTGTTCACTGCTAGTTGAAAATCCGGCAAACCGGAAAATATATTGATATCCAGCCGTTTCTGGTCCGGCAGCCAAAATCCCAGACTGGCGACTCAACATGCGGCCCTACATTTTTTGAGTTACCACTGACCTATTTAACCCGATTCAGTAGGAGAAAGTTCTATATAGCAAGGTACTCAACTCCTCTCTGCTACTAGAGTAATGGACAATGTAAATGGTTATATGATTATATTGATGTTTCTCTTGACCGTGAGTGATGGAGATAAACAAGGTAATTTTAAAATGTAGATAAGTTTGATTTGTTTTACTGTTGTAACGTATGATCTAAATTCAATCATCGATCTCAACAGTATCTACGAGCAGTTCTGAAACTCTGGTTGGCTGTACATAAAATAGTTTTACTTATGAATTTCACAACACTGAAGCGCATTTTATTTTCAGAGTACATAATGAAGATAGTCTGTGATGATAAGCTTTCGGTTTTCGTTGACGGTGAACTTAGAATTCAAGAGGATCGTGATCGTTGGAACGCCGTTCATACTTTAAGCATACTAAAATCAACCAAAGTCATCGGAATAGTATGTGTAAACGGTGGAGGAGAATATGGCATTCTAGGATCAGTGACAGACGAGTCAGACAAGGATGTGCTATTAACTGGTAGTTATTGGGGCTGTTCAAATAGATTTGAGGATGGATGGGAAAGAGTAGACTTTGTAGAGGGTGCCAACTGGCTTGCAGCAGCTGAACTGTCTAATAGACATTATTACTATATAGAAGGTCCTTGGAGGGCAATATCACCCCAAAGTAGAGTTATTTGGACAAACAGAGAGGACAGAACGGTTTACTGTCGCAAGACTGTTGACTGTAAGTTCAAAAACTAAAACATAAATAATTCTTATAACTATAAGTTATAAGTAATAAGTATGCATGTATATTGTAAAGCACATTGAATTTACGAAATTTCGATCGTTAAGATATTTACATTTACAAACTTCTTTCTTAGTTATATATCTGCTTATTATATTATTAAAGAATCATGAATAGTTTCAGATTGGAAGTTGGCTAAACTGGAAGTCAAAGAAGAGAATCCTAAGCGGGAAGGTTTATTACCCTTCAACCCTCACCTCGCCATACTTGAAATAAGAGTGGAACTAACATCACCATTTTCAAATGGGTTCCAGGACAATAGCCAGCATACTGTTGGTTTCTTTCTTTTCAAAGATAGAGATTATTCCGGACTTCATTCAGAGATACGTATCACGGTCCTGGAACGTTCTCTGACCGCTGAACTATCATTCAGCCATAAATCTGGTCAATCTGGTTGCAGTAACTCAACCAATGTTCAGCTTTCCCCGACGAATGACACCTTAACTTTAGGATTTGAAAAGTCGCCCTATTTATTTGTGAATAATGGAACAGCTCGATCAGAATTAAGTCAGTGTGGAAATGAAACCTTGTTTGAGGATTGGCAGACTTTGATAAAGAATTCTGGGATCAACCAGATAAAAGTTACAGGATTTACAGGCCTCTCAAAAGAAGAATTATTTATGACGACTGAATACAGATTTGTCAGTGGTTAGTGAAATGAGCTGCCGATATTATTTAACACTTAATTAATATTACTTAATACTTAAGCATAAGAAGTAGTACATTAAGAGCACTCACAACAAACAATAAACATGATTTTAAAATTTTCAATAGCCGGAACAAGCCGGGTGCAAGTGCAATCGTGCCAAAAAGTGCAGGGAAGCTGTACATAATACATATTGATACCTTTCTTGCAACTGTTTCGGTTTTCGTAACTTCCTAAAGTAAAATAAATATTGTTTGCTATTTGTGTTGTTGTTGTATGAGAATAGCCCTGTACATCTGCGAGCACAACTTTTAAAAATATCGATCCCTACTCACAGCTGTTTGGGCTTCCGTACCGTCCTAGAGTAATAATAAACTGTATGATCAAGAGTAAAGATATAATTCCAATCTATTTTCAGTATGCACAAGTATTCCACTGGACTGGATAATGGTACAAGGTCCCCAGCCGGATACATTCCCCCTCAGATGGGGCGGTGTGGTGCCAGTAGGGTGTCCGAGTGGTGTTCACGGAGGTGAAGTCTTGATCACGTGCTACAGTGGCACCACCTTTACTTTTACTCGACAACCCGAGTGTCACTTAGGTTAGTTTATGATATATTTGTCTTCCAGAGAATTCGACAGATACAACAAGACGATTTACAATAACGGAAAGGGGAGGGAAACTGTAAACAGTTTAACTGGGTAAGGAACCGGTTTGCAGTAAATTGGGGAAAATTGGGAAATTTTCCAACCTTCAGCCCACTTTCCCCATCCCCCCCTAACCCTAACCCCCCCCCCCCCCCCCCCCCCGATCCACATACCTTTCATTACCCTCCTTAATGATCAGATATCTAAAAGATCAGATGTGTAACAGCAGTTACTGATAACAATCTGTGCTGTGTCACTCTTGTGATATTAATAATAAATTAATAATAATTATACAACGTAGGTTATAACATACCTTGTCTGCTGAAGACTCCTTTCTGGCTATATCCTCGCTGACCTCCTTCTCTTCCTCCTCCCCTTTCTCGGCCAGATTTTCCAGAAAGTTCTTGTAGAATTGAGATTCTTTCTCGTATAGTGTGTGATCCCCGACGTAAGATAGCTTCCCGTGAGCTATCTCTATCACCTAAAAGAAAATACCTTTCATAATCTAAGATACGAGCAAGCACATTTTTATCAGCCAGCCGGACCTAGCCGGCATTTGTTAAATAATAGTTGTGAATTTAACTCGGTACGTATGAGAAAATTTAAATTTTTAAAATGCGATTGAAGTTGAACCCAGGCCAAGGTTATTATATTTCATAAATAATAATAACTCACATCTGTCACTATGGCCTATATAGTACATTGCTTACTGTACTTTATATTTTCTCGGATTTTGAGTCTTCGAAGATGGTATTACTCACGCCTGAACTTTTTCAGTTCATGCCTGTGAGGGCATGGGACCCGCGTTAATGGTGTGCATTATTACCAGGGTCAGACACCCTGTACCATTTTTTGCCAGACAACACCATGGTTTGGTGATCAGTAGTTCCTTTTTGGTTTTTGAGAACTGCCCCCGACGGGGATCGAACTCGCAACCTCTGGAATAGTAGCTCACGTTGGCTTAAACTGGCATTTTAACCAGCTGAGCTACTCAAATCATGGACCATTTAAATTCATGACTGACGTTAATTAAACTAACCAGGTCTGCATCCGAAAGGTACTGGAGATGATGTGTAATAAGAACAACAGTTCTTCCAGACTCTGCTAAAAACTTCTTTATTCCCATCTCAAACAACTTAGCACCCACGTGTGCATCCAGCGCCGAAAGCGGGTCATCTAAAATAACAAGGTCAGATTGGGCGTATAACGCCCGCGCTACACTGACTCTCTGTCGCTGACCACCACTAAGGTTAATACCGCGCTCACCAATCTCAGTTTCATCACCACCTGGCAAGGTTTTGAGATCCAAGTCTAGACATGATGCGGCACACACTTCTTTGTAGCGTTTTTCGTCCAGCGGCTGCCCAAATATTATATTTTCCTTTACAGTTGAATTGAGAATCCATGGACTTTGGGCGGCGTAACTTATCTTGTCACTTCTAATGTGGTTGGTTACTTTGCCCTGTAAAAATGTTTGTCACAACGCTGTATTGTACAATATAAATCGTTCAATAATTATAAGTTATCACTTATTACAACTATTACTTGACCTAACTTGTCCTTAGGTAAATCGAATAAATAAAATAATTTAAAATCTGTACATTCGTCAAATAATCATGAGAGCCAAAACAGAACTTACAGATACGATGTGCATTTCGTTTAGGAGCGCGCTGACCAGAGCCGTCTTGCCACCTCCCACCTCTCCAACCACTATCGTCAGCTTACTCTTGGGTATCTTCACGTCTATATCTTGTAGTATAACTGTTGCGTCTTCAGCAATGTCCCACGACAGACTGGCGTTAGTAAACTCGACTGCTACTCCACTGTCCGAGTAGCCGTTACTGTCGTGGTAGCCATTTTCAGCTCTAGGGATAGGATTGTCAGTTAAATCATTTGGTTTAGAAAAATACAGAATTCATCATGTGTTTCTTTCAGATAAAATTTAGATTACAATCTGAGCTGATCACCATGTTGTAGTAGTGTCCAATTAATATCTTACGTTTAACTGATCAACAATAATAATACATAGTACTAACGGAGTGCCATTCAGCATTTCACTTTGCATCGGTAACTCAGGTGCTTTGAGGAACTTGGTGATTCTCTGCGCACATGCTCTACCAGAGACAAACGCTCCGATAGCAAAAGGTATCAAGATGAAGGGTAGCCTCAGAATGTTTAGCAGTGCTAGGGTCCTGGGAGGGTGAGAATTTTAGGATATTTGGAACGATATCCTTTAAGAGAAAATGTATCAATACATTTCAATTGACTCATCACTAAATCCCTAGTAAACTATGATTAAAAACCAACCTGAGGGCTAGAGACGTAGTGAGAGGTGTGTGTTTACCAGTATCTGGATCTATAGGTGAAGTAGCACTGTACACCACGAAGATAGAACAGGCCATGATTGTTGGCATGACGTTTGCTATGAAGATAAACACTGCTCTCAAAGTCATCTGAGTTCGCAAAATCTTCGTCTGAAGGATCAGAAATTAGTTTTTGGGAGCTGCATCATCGAGTTGAAATTTTGATATCACGGTTTGTCAACTGGGACAAAAAGTCAGTTTTAAATTTAGATAAATATGATGATTAATATAAACCTCTTCTTTCCTAGCGTTGACAATCATCCTCTCAAAGATAGGCTCCCAACTGTACATCTTGATGCTCTTCATCCCTAACAGCATCTCGTTCATCACCTTCATTCGCTTATCTTTCGCAAACATTATCTGAATACGATATAAGTATTATGTTTCACATTGAATCTTCTTAGTTTAAATTGAAAGACGTATTCCGTTATTGAATTTATGATATTTTTGTTTCAAAGGACAGGGTGTACCCACAGATTTCTTATAATAAAATACTTCAACAATGAAATGAGGCATTAGTTAAATGAAAAACCGACCTTTCGTTGACATTCGCCCATTTTCTTGGCAACCATTCCATTGATGGGAAATGACGCGAAGAGGAAAAATATTCCAATCAAAGACACCCAACCGATATCCAAGAGAAGAAGGATTATACATCCAATAATCTGATGATGTAAACATTTTAGTGAAGAAAAGAATTTAAACCAAGTTACACATGTCGTATTCAAAATGAAGTTGTTACCTCGAATTCACTCTTCTTATCATAAATAGAAAACCTAGCAACAATTTACAGATAAAATACCATTTTATAATTATTTTGGCTGTGTAAAACATTATCTTACCATGACAGGTGAGACAACAAGGAAGTTGACGAAGTAGAACATGAAATGGTACTGCTGGGTGTCCGTACTCATAACGTTCAGTATTTTACCTGGATAAAAGTTGGGTTATGTACGTGCACCAGAAACAGCAAGTGATGTCTGTGCTGTATCAGATGTTCGTGAGACGGAATAAGTTCGCATTTCATTAAAATAATTGTTAGATTGTCTTTACCTTGAGTTAGATCAGGATCTTTGCTAGCCCAGGAAGCCAGCCGTAAAGCCTTCTTGAAAACAGTGAATTGTAGCAGGGACCTCACGTGAGTTGCTCGCCAGAAGTTCATAAACATTGAATATCTCGAACTGGAGGGGTTACACGTTACATTATGGGCTTTTGGAACATTTGTAGTTAATTAATCAATCAATTAACTAATTGGTTATTATGTTACCAAACTCATGAGTCGAGTTTGTGTGGATTTACCTGAGAATACTTTGGGAGATTCCAGTTAGAAATATCACAAAGCAGAGAAAGAACCCATTTTTGAAAAACTCTGAGACTATCATAGGTTCGTCTTGGACCATTGAACTAGATTCAGTTATGTTCAGAGACGATGGATTGAGCTGTAGCGCCTTGATGTTAGCCTGAGAAAGGAATCCGTATTATTTGTGCACCAGTTTCAGTAAAGTAGAATAAATAAAATATCTTTAATAATTCAATAAACGCGAATTTACATGGACTTTGGGAAGATTCATTTCTGACCGGAAATAATACCGGAACAACATATCATCAGTTAAGTCTTGATCCCAGAAGCAGTGTTACCTGTTTAGTTGCGATGTATATGTTTATGCCACTGATAGCAAAAGGTGACAAGAATGCCATTCCATCTCCAATAACTCTCATAATTATGGAAATATAATAAGTTTCCTTGAACAGCTTCAAACAGACTATGATAAGAGAAGGACTCTTTTTCTTTACCTCTTCTGTCCACAACTTGTCGAATTGTTGAGCTAAAGGACCACATTGGTCCACCTGAGATTACCATTCGTAAAATAAATAGAATATTATCAGCCTTACGGAATGTATCAAGATGCCAGAACAAACGGGTTGGGATCAAAACAGCTACTAATATAAGTTGATGATAATATTTTATAACATCAAATTTAATCGAACGGATATTTCAACAAATCAAAAGTTTAGTTATAACTAAACGTTAGATTGTTGAGATAAATATATCAAAATGGAACACTGAAAAGTTACACTAAGAAATTACCTGAGGAGGAGCGCCAATATCTGACATCTCCAGGGGCTTCTTCCACCCCTTGATCAGCAGCCCCCTCATCCAGGCAAATGTCAGACGAGAGGGTAAGGCTGCTGTCCAATGTTTGTTACACGTATCTCTGTCCGCCACCTTTGTCCACGATAGTCGACCTTTCTGTAGTAACCACGTGATAAGGAGTTTTGTACATTTTAAAAGTTGGATAATTTAACTGCCGACAGAAATTTGGTTAAATCAAATATAAAATTATGTTTATAAGATTACGTACGATGATGTTGGCGAAGGATATGATGGTTAGAACGAAGTAGAGGAATGTTCGAACCACTGAAATGATCACCCTAACATCTAAACTACCAGCACTTTCAGCTTCAAACTGGTTTATCAGCCTCTGAAATAAATTGGTCGTATCAATAATTTAATTTAAAAGATAGCTCTGTATGCACTAGATAAATTCAGGAGCGCGAGCGTGTTAGTCTGTTAGATGAATGATCAAAATGAAGAAACCGAGTAATTCGGTTGTATAAATAATACAGTTTAAATAATATTTGACAGTATCTCACCACAATGATCATGACATTAGCGACGAGGGATGTGATATAAGAAGCGGTGAGGATGATGAGAGGTAACCTCCTGGCTGTCCTCTCTCCTCCAGCATACATGACACCCGTTGCTACCATTCCAAACACCTGGTATTTAAGCAGTATTAATTAAAAGTTCATAGTTGGTTCGTGCGCAAATTTCTAAAAGTGCGTAAAGTGCGTTGTGTTTTAAAAGTGTGCACGAACCAACTGTAGTATCAGTAACAATTCAGTGCACGTTTTAGTTTCAGATGGGGTGAGCTTATTCAAGAAAAGTCTAGTTCGATTTGGTAGATCTGTTTAGCGGTTTCGACCCTCTGTTATTTTAAGAATACCCAAAATATCTCCGGGAAGAAAGAAAGAAAAACTGCAACTAAATTTATCTATTTTAGTTTTTATTTCCAATTACAAACTTTTGAAACAATATCACATTACCTGATACACAGAGTTTAGAACGACGAATGCTTTACCTCCAAATAAGGTATGCCATAATATTATCTCCACAATAACAAGAAACAACGATCCAATCAAACACGCATACTGAAGACTGTGGAACCTGCATTCAAAAGATAAGATTCAGTTAAGTCTTGATGTGAAAAGGGATAGGGGGGGGGGGGGGGCCAAGTGGATATTTGTAGATATTTGTAGATTAATGTAGAGTGGATAATCCACGAAAAAAGTGGATGACATTCTACAAATTTATACATTTATCTCCAAAAATTCAGTCGAATTTCTGGGCACATATTTGAGATTCCATTTTTTGTAGATAAATGTAGATATTTGTAGATTATTGTCAATGGATAATTCACGAAAATTCTACAAATTCTACAAATTTATACATTTATCTCCAAAAATTCAGTAGAATTTCTGGGCACATAATTGAGATATACATTTTTTGTAGATAAATCATAAATGTAGATATTTGTAGATTATTGTAATGGATAATTCACGAAAAAAGTGGATGACATTATCCAAATATCTACAAATATCCACTTGGCTCCCCCCCGGGATACAATGATACTAGTTTGTGTTATCGTAACCATTCAAGTAGTAATTATAAAGATATGGATAAGTTCAATGATGAATCTACAATATTTAATCTGAAGAATATTTTATAAAAGTAAATTTGTCCCCTACCAGAATCTGACGAGTCGCTTCTTAGCGACACTATTAAAGTAGTAAAGCACAATAGCGCATAGGATTACAAAGGAGTTACTGATTAGTTTCACGAACTCTGGCGTACACAGCCCGTCAGTGTTGGACCACCCTCTGCAATATCTCTCCATATCTTCTATCTTTTATATTCCTTATCTCTTCATATCACCCTGCAACTGCTGGGGGTGCTATTTAAGGATTTAAATTTGATATTACTCTAATGTTACAAAACTGTAAACCAAGTGAAGGTTCACAGGTAAGGGTTAAATATGAAAGGAATTTCGAACTCAAACTTATTCTATCGAACGAATTACGAATATATAATAATATGTAATATGTAATATTACGGATACCTTAAAACTAAATTAATTCCTGGGCAACCACGTACGACCGTACGTGGTGAATTACAGGAATTACAGGAATTACAGGAATCTAATGTTCATCGTGACGTCGAAAGCGTTGGTTAACTCTAAAACCAATAAAATGGTTAAGTGGTAAAGTGTGTGGTTACTTAAATAATTTAGCTTCATGAACCACCACATCATTGAAAGGATTTAAACAAGATACAATATCAACTTTTTAAACTCATTAAACTCTATGTACATTGTACATTACAGTTTATACAAATAATTGCATAGTTTCAGGGCTCAACCGAACTATTTAAACTGCCGCTACACTGCCGAATGTGTTCGATGAAATATAAATCGACTCGAGTAAACGATCAAGAAGAAGAAAGATGGCGGTAGGTAGCTGCTACATACACGCTACAACTACAAAAGGCAAAAGCAAGAGCAAAATAGAGAAATATACAATATGCCGTGCTTATGTACTACAACTTGAGGCAAACTTACAAGTACAGTTCATACTAAAGAGCTGGACATTACACAACGTCTTACACAAGTACACATCAGTAACTGAGCTGGTAGTAGTACACACTCAGTTCAGTAAGTAAGATACTAACTACACAGATAACAGATTTGTACACACATCACAATCATCATTCACCAAACAGATTAACAATTATCACTCTCCTCACTACAAGACAACAGGCAATTAAGCAAATTAAGCACTGAGAAGATAGTGGCCAATTACTGTTACTAGGGTCAAGATATACTGATTGTTGTGTACTTGTAGTTCAATATTGAGATTAAGGAAATCCGAGAGTAGACGCCCGCTTATAGAAATGTATAGGACGTGTTGAATGTATATGTGTTACTTGCCCTGATTATACGACTTAAGCCTAGGGATACACCTTTCATTTAACAACCGGTAAAAGAAGCACAGTACATATTAAAGCAGGGACTAACAGGAAACAGATAGAGAATGCTGATAGTTTCAAACAATAAACACGAAGCAGCTCATGAGAAAAGTCAAGATACACTTCAGATAAAACTTCAATGAATAAAAGAAATGCAGCTCACTATAACTTCGTAGTCAGCTGTAGGAGCAGCTCAATGTAACTTAATAGTCCTCTAAAAGATCAGCTCACTATAACGTTATAGACCTGTATCAGCTGTAAGCCCAATTAAGGGGGGTCTTCATCAAAATTCTCTCGAAATTGACTCTATAGTTATTTCTGATAGATGGGAGTGATATCTACCAGCTGCTTTTGGTCCCATGGAAAAATATTGCTCCTAGCCGAAATTATCGCCGGTGTAAGGTTAACGCTTATGTGTAATTGATTTTCAATCGCAAGTTCTAAAAATCTTCTCCTACATTATTTTAGCAATCACCCTCAAACTTTCAAGATATGTTCTAAGGACCATTTAAAAGAGATCGCTCAGACAGAATTTTGAGATAGGCCTTTAAAAATTTTGTATTCAATTTTGAAAATCTTTGACCTCAAAAAATCGTCAAAAAACGATAATTTCGGCTTGGAACAAAATTTTTCCATGGGACCAAAAGCAGCTGATAGATATTAGATATCCCCTCTATCAGAAACAACTATAAAATCATTTTCGAGATCATTTTGATGAAGACCCCCCCCCCCCCCACCGGCCCCCTGAAATACAACCTGAGACACGTCAATATTCAGATTTACAATCTTGTAACATGATATATAATGAATGACATGACGCAATATTATGAGGCTTTATTGATCAAAAGTTGAAATAAGGATTTTCTTTTGATTAAGGTCATGGCTTCATGGTAACGAACGAAATACCCAAAAAACGTCGAATAAAAAAGCCTGGCGAATCGCCCAGGAGAATTAAAAAGGAAGTAAAAAGAAATATATGTGTGGCATATAAAAATCGAATGGAGGTTAGAATATTCAAGCAATAGTTAACCCCTTTAATGCGCCTGGTAAGGTTAAATAAGAATAACTTTGCAAAGACATCACGTACTAATAACCACGTACCAAACATCACGTACTACAATGGAGAGGTCTCATACATCGGAATAAGGAGTTACTGTGTGGTGCAGGCCAGTCCAACGATTAGGAGAAGACCTTTTCAAGAACAAGTAAGTAAGTACTAATCAGATCCGTATGTGACTCACTAAAATTAGCACTGAGCGCGTACACCACTACTCGTATAGTGTACAGGCTGAGTTTTAGATGAGCTTCAGATGCATGGCTACAATCATTGTCAGCTCCTGTAGTAAAACGATAGCTGCGTACTATGCAGACATTGACTTCGTGACAGAAGACAAAATATTTCATATCATTTTCAGGGTCAGACATGAATTCTTTGAAAAACACTTATAAAAACGTTTGATAACACAATAATATCTTGATCGATGCTAATCCAGTCTCATTTTTAAGGTCATAGAGTAATTAATATAAGCATAGTTTGCAGACTTGCGAAGTCAACAGCCACATTGGTTCAACAACCAGACACGAGAAGGGCACCTTTAACAGACAGATCATATAAGGAAGCTGGGTTCATGAATATTTGGCAGGCGGCAGCTGAAATAAAATTTGGTGCGAAGAATATTGGAACAAACTGTAAGATGAAAAAACAACAAGTCGTCGATTAATAAAACTAGCAGGAACCCGTATAATATAACCCTAAACGGTGTCAAGACTCAAAATACTAAAATAATTATTACCTATTTAATTGGCGTTTTTGACACCACTTGGGGGTCCAAATTTTAGGCTCTAAAATCATTATTCCTTGGCCAATTTTTTATTTTTTCATGCTGATTTGAAGGCCATTAAAGCATTTGACCCAGCCAAAAAAGTTCCAGTTGTATATCTTTTACGGTTTTTGCGGAAAGTCGCGTTAAAGTTGATGCCGTGGTGTCAGTAAAATGGCACAGATATATATATATATATCGTCTCGCTTTATATATAGTAAGATGGTACTGTATATATACGTATATATGTATATGTATGTATACATATATACGTATGGATGGTACTGTATATATATATATATATGTATGTATAGTAATATTATGGGTCGGTTGGAGCTGCGCGTGAGGACTTGTGCGTGAGGACTGAGGTCATCGTGATCTCAGTTGACAGTCAGGCGCTGCTGGCTCAGATTTCAGATATGGTTCCTGATAGTGCCTGATAGGACTGTGACGAGACGGTGACGCGACGTGAGATATGAGACTTGTTGGCAACCGGCCCGATGTTTACTCAAAATATATATATGATATAATATGTTCTGGTGAAAATTAAAATATTCATCGAATGAGACAGATTCTTTCCAGATGAGTACACGAACGGTAACCAATATTCGCCTCGACGTAGCGTTGAAACCCAACGAGCAACAGCGACTGAAAATATAATACACAACTATGACCTGATGTCATGACCTGATGGCAGTGCTATATAAGAACTAGGAACTTAAATTCGATAATAAAAGGCAGGGTGGTGCGACCACGTCCGGACAAATCATTCTCAAAATAGAACGGGCTAAAGCAGTGAAAGTGCACAGCAAGTTAAAGAAGGAACCTAAACCGCACGAAAGAGGTTATACCATTCAGTATACACTATACAGTGTATACTCACATCATGTTATGCATAGTATGCTTCTTCTTGAGTTATGATATGAAAACTGCACATAATTGAGTATGATACACAGAATATGGCACAGCTAGAAATTTAATCAAGCAACACTTGGAAAATATCAAATTTCAGGGTTGATAGCAATCAGGCTTGTCTTATCTTGTTTTCAGATTGGATTTGCAACACTGGTCACAAGGTTTAAACGTCAAATTAGATGAAATTTATTCTAGACTATTCTAGATCACTCCAGAGATTGGAATTCACTGTACAGATTGGAATTCACAACTCGATCCAGCCTGACAGCCGAATGTTTAGACGCACTACTGGTCAAAAGTAGAACTTGGTAATCTGGTGGATTACAGCTCTGCACGATATGAAATAATATTATATTCGGGTGCAATACGTTATCAGCTTCTTCTCAAATAAAAAAACATGATAAGCCCAAAACCAGCTCAACAAAAAAAAAAGACGTACGTCGTTCAATACAAACAACAATTATTGCAAAAACAATCAATGCGACAGAAAGTATAACAAAGCTAAACTGCAGCGCTAGCAGAGTGTAACGTTATACCCTGTAACTACATAATTGATATTGCTTGTCTACTAATATATAGTATATAGTAGATACCATGCGACCAGGATACACATAATTTTATGTATAGTGTAGAGAATGCCAACCTCTCATAAAACTACAGATGCATGTATTACAAAACATCAACAAGATATTTTAACCACGTACACACTAATTGTACACCAAGCTACAAAGAGGCGCTAATTAGGTGCACAGATCTGCCCTATAATAACACAGGTAACACCATAAGAATAAGACGTGAATAACACACAGATATAATCGGATACTTGTTACGTCATTCACACCAAATTCAGCGAAAATGATAACAATAATTCTATTTGTGCAACAATTAAAACCAAAGATTACTGTAAGAATTCATCAGGTACAGAGATAGAGACAAAATATTCAAGAGAACAAGAATGGCGCATCAGAGAGAGAGCAATATCGTAGAAATGATATGTATTATAAACTGGGTATGCTACAACACTAATATCATGTACAGCGGAAATTTGATACTCCAATTTAATTGACATTCAACAATTTTGGTCTCTTTTTAAAGCGAGACCTGCATAAAGACGACTTTTTGAATAGGACGCATTTCTAGTGTGACATACTATATATTACGAAGCATATTATACCTTTTCGAGAGAAATCAGCATTATATTGAACGGAGAGATTTTGGAGACAATAAAGTTGGATATTAGTGGGGAATTGATAGTGACTGGCCAATAAGCTTCAGCAGCGATATCAAATTACCAACACCCCAGCCTATGTAATGATAAAGCTGAGCAATTCTCAATTTTCCACTGGAGTCGGGACAACTATTTACAATGAAAATGGGGTTTTTATCTCCACCATCCATGCTCGTCTTACAATACAATACAATGCAAATGGCATATTATCAAATAGCATAACTTATATATAATTACTCAATTTCATCAGTCTTGATTATTGTAAAAATGTGAAATATGTCAAAAGATATTTATATATGTCAAAACATATTTATATATGTCAAAAGATATAATCAAAGAAAGTGGAATTAATTGTTCACCTAATGATGTCTTACCACAAGATCTTGTCAAAGATAATATCACTTCTCTGTTGCATGTATGGGTTGATCTAGTTAACCAATCGCTGTCATCAGGAAGTATGGATGGTGTGAAACTAGCTGATGTAATTCCGCTAATAAAAGATGATTCTCAGGATCCGAATATATTGAAAAACTACAGGCCAGTCTCAAACCTTACATTCCTGGGAAAACTAATTGAAAGAGTAGTTTTAAGAAGACTTAACGAGCACCTTAGTCGGAATAACCTTAATTGTCAGGAACAGTTTGCTTACAAAAAACACCATAGCACTGAAACACTCTTGATTAAAATAGTGAACGATGTCTTAATAGCAGCAGATGACAAAACTGCTACTGTGGTGATGCTCTTGGACCTGAGTGCTGCCTTTGATACTGTGGACCATACTTTGTTACTCCGTATCTTGAAGCAAGAAATAGGAATCAGAGGAACTGCTCTTAGCTGGTTCACCAGCTTCCTTAAAGGACGTTGTCAGCGGACTAGACTCGGCAAATCTGTCTCTGAAACAATAACTATCCGATTTGGAGTACCTCAGGGCTCTGTTTTAGGCCCGGTACTCTTTAACATCTATATCAGATCGTTGTACAGATGTGTTAAAGAATCTGGTTTCTCCATTATTGGTTATGCAGATGATCATCAAATCATGAAATCTTTCAAACCCTCTGATCAGGTCAAAACCTTAACCAATCAGCTGAGAAACTGCTTCTTGAGGATAAAGAATTGGATGTCACAGTACTACCTGCAACTGAATGATTCTAAAACACAACTCATAGTCTTTGGACCTAGTAAAGTGCTCAGTGAGATAGAACTTCATGGCGTTGATATAGCTCCTAACACTTTGGTAATGTTTGTGCCTACTGTTAAGAACCTTGGATTAGTAATGGACAATCAGCTGGTATTTGATAAACAGATCGTAAATCTCAAGAAGAAATGTTTTCATACGTTACGTAATATCAGAAAAATCAGATTTCTACTGAGTCCCAAACAGATTAAGATCATCGTTAACAGTCTAGTAGTGTCATGTCTAGATTACTGTACAACGGTCTGTACTTTGGTATCGGCGAGAAGCTGCTGCATCAGCTCCAGTTACTTCAGAATGCTGCTGCAAAAGCTGTCACTGGTAAATATAAACATGACCATCTTGATGATGACCTGATAAAGCTTCACTGGTTAGATGTAAAGAAAAGGATTGTCTTCAAAATCTTATTACTATCTCACAAGTCACTGTTAGGATTGGCACCAATTTATCTGCAGGACATGTTCAAGTATGCTCATCATGGTCACTCATTGAAGCTTATTGTTCCTTCTTGTAATTCAAAGTTTGGTGAGCGTAGCTTCTCTGTAGTGGCTCCAAAGATCTACAATCGTCTGCCTGTTACCATCACCTCTGCTCAATCTCTGGAATGTTTTAAAGCTTTTCTAAAAACTTACCTTTTCAAAATGTCTCCAGATGAACTTGAAAAACTATATCGATAACTATTGTGGTCATATTTGGAATTCGATATTTGCATGATATATTTAAGTACCATTTTCGGGCTTTAGTATTGACGATATATTTCAAGCATATGTTATTTTTTAGCTCAGTATTCATGATATTTTCTGGGATGACTAGTTCAAACACTGCTGAGTATAAGATTTATCTTAAAAGCGGTGTTATTAAATTTCAATTTATTATTATTATTATTTGTTTGAAACGACTAACCTTTCTTCGATGGTTTAAAACTGTTTATCAACCATGATTTTCATTAACAAAATCGGGATCAAATCTGAGCTGAGGATATACTGTTAATGATATTTCAGTTTTTCAGACAAGCTTACAAATTTCATGATGAATTGTATAAATTATCATATTTGCTGAAAATGTTTCAAATATTGTAATGTTAAGTTTAATTCGGATGTTTTAATAGATTTCGGTGATCCTTTGAGATGAATTTTAAGAAAAAATATAAACGAGCTCAATAATTTCCAATTTGAAATAATAAGTTATCATATTAAAAATAAAACTTTACACTTGCGAGAGCACAAACTATCATTAAACAGTTAACGTTTTAAATGATAAATCAGGGTCAGTTCCACATTAAAAACATACTGTCAGTTCATATTAAAATCGACTGAAATAAAAAGTTTATGTGATAAGAGTAAAAAAGATTCTATATTCCTCGGTAGTACCAGAACCTGGCTCTGAAATCGTCACTGCATGAGATAAAAGCAGGCATGGTCGGAGAATGAACAGCACCTCTGATCACATTGTTGTGACCAGACACCAAATGTGGATGTGGTTCTGCTGTACGAGCATCCCAGCACCCTACCGCCATCCCCTTTTCATCAGGTGCTATTATCAGATCCTCGGTGTGGTTGAACTGTGCGCCAGTTCGGTGGTTGTGCTGTGTAACTCCAACATACTCGTTCAAGATGTTCCCGCTGGTCACCTCCCAAAGTTTCACAACACTGTCCTTACCGCTAGATAGCACATACTTGCCATTCCTCGAGAATTGGACACTGGTCACCTCGGCTCCATTGTGAGCATCATCAAATGTTTTGACGCACCTGTTACTGACACCATCCCACATTTTGATTGACCCGTCACTACTGCAACTTGCGTACATGGTGCAGTCAGTGTTCCAACACAGTGCTAAGACAGGACCTGAGTGCTGTGACAGACTGTTTGAACAGACGTAGCACTTCAAAGTAACATAATCATACAACCTAATAACTGGGTGATCAAGCGCCATGAGCAGGTAATCACCTGATGAGTGGAACGCCAAACTTCTTACTGAAGCACCTTCCTCGAGACTTTTCACTGCTTTCTTGACACTGGCTTTGGTGAAGTCGAATACTTTGATGGTACAATCCTTAGATCCGCTCACCAAGTGTGTTGTGACAGGGTGGAAAGTAAGAGCAGTGATGGAATCAAGATGATCATAAAGAGTTCTTATAACAGGATGGTTTTCATTCTCTTGACGTTGAGCCTGTTGGGACTTTGTTATCATCCGTTCAACATCCATTATTTTGAGACTTGCATCGACGCTTCCAGTGGCACAAAGTTTACCATCAGCAGTAAAGCAGGCAACACGGCAAGGAGCTTTGTGGGAAGTAACATAGGCAGTTTCATATTGTATGACGGTGGGAGAAGAATTCATGTCATCTGTATCATACTCCAAATCCAAACCAGGGCCCAAATTAGTCGCTTTCTCCAGCTTTTTACTGTGTGTCTCAGTCTCCTCATTGAGTTCCTCATATTTCAAGCCATATTGGACTAACTGACTAAGTCTATTCGTAGGAGCACTTTGTATCATAAATCCACCAGTAGCATTCTTAAGAGCTACTGTCAACTCATATGCAACAGTTTCAAATTTGTCACTCCTTAGTTGGCCGATTATGAGCTTGTATAACCTTTCCCTCTCCTTCATCACTTCAGAAGCGCTCAGTTGATTTGGTATAGGCATTCTGATAGCTGAAATATTTCATTATTTAATACTATAGCAGACATTATTTCAAAAAGTCTAACTGAGCTGTGCACCCCTGATTAATCAGGGATATAATTAAATTGATAAATTTTATACTGCAGTGTAAAAGCTTTATAGGTATTGAAGTGTAGAAGTATTCACTGCACACAAAATATTAGCCCATGCCAACATAAAGCCCAGCGTTTTTCAGTTACTTTGTTGGAGCAAGCTCAAAAAGTCTGCAGCATCAAATCAAATCAAATAATAATGACACAAAACATCACCATACAAAATAATGGAAAAGAACCCATGTGGCTCTTGCTTGTGAAATTTGCATATATACTACCCAAGGCGAGGGTTGCAGTCAAGATGCAGTCAAGATGCTGGGCTGTTGATTTTCCTCTGATTCCCCTCAGCGCAATGAGTGTGCTTCTTAACAGATAAAATCTGAATCGTGTTCTGATATGATTTTTGACCTGACTCATGGCTTATTTTTTGTTGTCAGCTAACATCCCAGAAACACGATCTACAAACAAGCAGTCCCATAACTCCAGAAGTTGTGAAGACTAGAGGGACAAAAGATCCTTTCTCTGACTACTGAAGTACTCTCTCTTTCTTCATACAAATCATTCTTTTCTTTCTCATGCTTACTGTAGATTTTATCTAGTGGCTTAATTAATGTATTTGAGTTGCAGTCAGGATGCAATGTGTGACCATAACGTCAAAGAATGTTCTTTCAAAGGGTGCATACAGTCTTGGAGGAAGAAAGCAGCAGTGTCTCTTATGGCATTGTGGCACATGAAAACCTAATTTCCAATCAAGGGCGTGATAGACACTGTTTATATTTCCGTAAGCACATTTAGAGGGCACTCTTTTGATCTTCTGACCATACTGTAGAGTGTAGATGTATGCTGTCTTGGAACTCCTGCCTGTTTAGAACAAAGTTGAGGTCTTTCAGAGGTAGTTTTAGGAGCCATGTTGAGGCTCCCTTCTCTCTTGCTTGGCCTTGGTGGTTTTAGGTCGATGATCTGACTCACTATGGACTATAGAGCAACTTAAACCTTTGGGAGAGAAACTCCTCTTTCTGTTCCCTCAGATTCTCTTTCTTTTCTTTCATCTTGGCCAGGTCCAGCTTGGTGATATCCAAGCTGGACCTGGCCAAGATGAAAGAAAAGAAAGAAGATCTGAGGTGATATATTGGTTGATCAAACCTACTAATTGCTATGGCTTTAGTTACTGCTACTGAGTAAGCATATGCATAGCCCGCCACATCAAACAGGAATTTCGAGGGTATCTCTATCGTGCTGGGTGACTGGACCAATGAGGGCTGGAATGAGCACATGATGCATGATCTTGCTCTCCAGTGGGGCAAAGTACTTCTTAGCAACATGGGATTAAACATAGGACATTCATTAGGCTTTTCTTTATTAACAACGTAATTAGTTCCCTCAATTCTTCCTTAAACTTCATTCGAAACATTCCAAAAATAACTATCATTTACTAAAGGTTTAGAAATCAACATTTTCAAAATCCCAAATAATAAACATATACACACATGTACAATAAATTAAATCTGGTGATGCATTTGGCAGAGCACAAGCACAAATCATGAGCAATAAATATCATCTACCCCTTGTAGCTCTTCATCTCAGGTATCAGGTTGAAGGAGACTGGATATAGGGGCCGCCCATGCCTTCTTCTAATATAGGTGGCCTTAAGTTTGGGTCAGATGCCAGGAAATTATTTGGACAATGGCTCCCTGGAAAGCAGTACTTTGCACTAGCACACTCCTCATTATATCCATGCTCAGGCGTGTCCTGTTACACATCACCTAGCTACAGTCCTCCTTCGTCTTGGTGGATATCTACACAGCAAGTCGACTAATGAAACGTTTGGCCTCAGGTGCCGGCCATTCCTCTTTTAGTGGTAAATACAAGGGGGACGAATGACCCTTTCTTCAGTTGTAGCACTCGGTTCATATATACTGCAACTGGTTTTTATTTTCATTCTCATGTTGAGTGTAGACCTGTGGCATGGTCTTTCCTTGATTAGCGCATGTCACATTCCACAAATTCATTTCACAACAACAAGTGTTTCATGCCCTTCCCCATCAAACTTTCCCCGACCTTTTATAATCTAGGAGTGATCAGATTAAGGTTCAAATGGTTGGTAAAGATTTTGCACCTAAGTAAGTAAGTAAGTAAGTAAAGATTATGACATAACATCATCACAAGTGTCTACAAAATATCATTGCACTAAATAAAAAAATAATTTAAATAAATATATTTTTCCATCAACATTAATAATTTATCAAATTCAATTTTATTAATTAATAAAATCTAATACATTATCTATAAATAATTCATTAAATAAATAATAATAAAATTTGGTAGCTTAAACACAAACTCTAAGCCCAGTGGATAAACCACAAAACTTATGCTCTATTGTGTGAAACAAAGATACTAGATCAAGATAACTATCAAGGAGTGTATGCATAGGACATAAAAAGTTTTGGAACGAAGATGACATGCTTGTGAAGCGAGCTAACAGTCTAATTGCTAATAAGTTCAAAAAGATCATGACATTAGGTTGCATCCTAAACAGTTTAAGCAAATAACATAAAGTTATTATATTGTCGATTAATCGCTCATGCCATAACTTTTCTTAAACAGGTGAGTTTTTAATAATGTTTTGAACAGATCAACATTGGAACAAGTCTTAATTTCAATTGGTAGTTGGTTCCAGATTTTCGGAGCGACAGTCTGAAACGCTCTTGGGTGTGATCTTGTAGATCCGACGGGTAGGTGTAAGGAGGAAGTTCTTCTGCTACTCGAACTAACAAATGTTACTAGATCACACAGATATGCAGGAGCAACACCATTGACTGCTTTGAAAATCAGTAAGCATAACTTAAACTCAATCCTCTCCTTCACCTTGAGCCAATGAAGGGATTTGAGCTTCTCCTCGACTGAGTCTCTCTTCTTTAATCCAAAAACCAGACGGCATGCTCGGTTCTGAATGTTCTGCAGCTGCGTAATTGAGGCTTGACTACAACCATAGTAAAGTGCATTGCAGTAGTCAAGCGATGAGATTACAATTGCTTGAGTCAGTGTTCCCATCTGTTTGGTTGTGAGGAATGTTTTCATCTTAGCAAGGTCTCTTAGTTTCAGAAAACACGATGTTTTAAGTTGCTTGATTTGCTCACCAAAGTTTAGTTGAGAGTCGAGACGAAATCCGAGGTTCTTTGCAACAGGTGACAGCCTGACACACGTCTCAGAGTTAACAAACACGCCCCCTATAGACAGCTGCTGGAGAACAAGCGGTGTCCCAAAGACAAGAATCTCGGTTTTTCCTGCATTGAGCTGTAGATAATGTTTTTTCATCCAGTCATTAATTTCTTGGAAACATTTGGGAACATCGTTGATAAGGACGGTGGGCTCCTCGTTTGGCTTGAAACTTTTATACAGCTGATGATCGTCGGCGTAACCCTGGATGGAGAAGTTCAAATCATGTGCTGCTGAGTACAAAGAGCGAATGTAGATGTTGAACAGGACCGGACCCAGCACAGAGCCCTGTGGGACTCCAAACTTAATCACTATCTCATAAGATTCCTCATTTCCAACTTTAATCGTTTGACATCTACCTGTGAGGAAGCTGCTGAACCATTTCCAAGCTGTCCCTGTTATTCCCAACTCATTTCTGAGGATGTTCAGTAGTTTGCAGTGGTCAACTGTATCAAAAGCTGCGCTGAGATCTAGGAGAAGAACAACAGTTGCCTTGCTTTCTGTAGATGCAATGAGTAGATCGTTAACAACTCTCACAAGCAGAGTCTCGGTGCTGTGTTTTGATTTGTATCCAGACTGCTGTGGGATGTTCAGGTTGTTGTTTTCTAGATGTTCATTTAGACGCCTGAGCACTACTCTTTCTATCAACTTGCCCACAAAACTAAGGTTAGATATTGGTCTGTAATTCTTGAGATTATCACTATCTAATCCCTGGCCCTTGATCAGGGGTGTGATATGAGCTAGTTTAGCGCCATCAATACTGCCAGAAGATAATGAAGCATTTACTATGTCAACTAAGACGGGTAGTAGAACCTCAAGGTTTTCTTTAAAGATGTTTGCAGGTAGAGGGTCAATTGAAGAAGACTTGATCTCAGATGCCTTGATTATCTCCTCTAGTTCTTCTAGAGTAGTTGGAGAGAACTCAGCTAGTTTTTCTCCGCAGTAAGAGGGCGTTTGATCGTCAGACTCCACATGATCAAAGTTATTTCGTATTGCCTTTATTTTCTCCTGAAAATATACGTTAAAGTTTTCGACTGTGACCTTGAGAGACTCCGACGAAGGCAACACAATGCTTTTATCCCGATCAAGAAAGGTGTCCACAAATCTAAAAAGACTCTTAGAAGAATAGGAATGCTTTATGAATTCGACTTTGAAAAACTCATGTTTCTTCCTGTCTGAGAGTTCTGTGCACTGCTCTCTGACTGATTCATAGTGTTTCTTGTCAGTTAAAGATCCGGAGATTTTCCACTTTGTCTCGGCTTTTCTTCTTTGGCTTCTAAGTGCTTTATATTCACCATCGAACCAAGGGGCAGACTTACGTTCTTTGATTTCCTTTGTGAGGAGAGGAGCATGGTTATTCAGCACAGTTAGGCACTTAGAGTTGTATAGGCTGATGCGGCTTTCAAATGACGGCATTTCAGCTTGTGATAGACCCTCAGGATCCATTACAGTAACCAATTCCTCAGCAAGATTATCCGCAAAACAATTTTTGTCAATTTCTTTGACATTTCTGAATGTGATAACTTTTTTCTTGTTGAGATTGCTTGCAACTGTTTTTGTGAGGCTAAAAGTAACCGGGAAATGGTCACAGTTTGGGAACATTTCCGAGGTGTGCGAGTCTACTGTGACACTCTTTGGATTGACTATCTGATGGGAGGAGATTACAACATCCAGAATATGTCCTTTGTTGTGAGTTGGATCTCTCACGTATTGATGCAGTCCATAGCTGGCCAATA